CTTTTTTGCCTCTCCAGAATATATTCCCAGGAGTGGTATTACTGGGTCAAATAGGAGCTCAATTTGTAATTTTTGGAGAATCATCCATACTGTTTTCCAAAAGGGCTGAACCAGTCAGCATTCCCACCATCAGTGAAGGAGAGTCCCTTTCTCACCACACCAATACCAACACCGGTTGCTTTTGTTCTTTTAGATGTGGTGTGAGATATTTCATTGTTGTTTTGATCTGCATCTCCCTGATGATTAGTATGTAGAACATTTTCTCATGTGCCTTTTAACCATTTGGATTTCTTCTTTGAGAAAGTTTCTGCTCATCACCCCATTTTTTTAAAATTTTTATTAGTGAAACACCATGAGGTACAGTTGTAGACTTACAAATTTTTGTGCTTGGGTTTCAGCCATATAATGATCGAATACCCATCCCTCCACCAGTGCCCATTCTCCACCACCACTGATCCCAGCATCCCTCCCACCCCCATCCCCCCCTACCTCTGTGGCAGGGCATTCCCTTTTGTTATCTCTCTCCTTTTGAGTGCCGTGGTTTGCAAGAGACATTGAGTGGCAATCATTTTCGGTCTATAGGCTACTTTCATCACGGATCTCCCATCCTGAGAGGAACCTCCCAATACCCTTTATTTGGTGCTCCTTTCTCTATCTGAGCTGCCTTTTCCCCTAGCACATCACCCCATTTTTTGATGGGGTTGGATGTTTTCTTCTTGTGGAGTTCAACCAGTGCTTTGTATATCCTTGATATCAACCCCTTATTGGATGGGAGATTTCCTATTTCTTTCTAATTCACTCTTGAGATAGTGTTTCTAAGAATGTAAATTTATTCTAGTTTGTCCAAATAGTTGGTGTAACAAGATCTTCTTTTGTTTCTGTGGTATGTTACTTTTCCTCATTTTGTTTATTGTGCTTTTCCTTCATGAGTTTATCAATTTAGACTAACACTTGAAGAAACTTAAATAACTAGCCTAACTTAAACAACTTATTTAACTTAAATAACTTAACTAAACTTACACTTGAAATAACTTAAATAACTGAAAAGTTTGTTCGCTGGGGTTGGGTAGGGCGTTGGCCTTGTATGCAGCCAACCTGGGTTCTATTCTCAGCATCCCACTTGGTCCCCTGAGCACCGCCAGGAGTAATTCCTGGGTAATTCCAGTAATAATTCCAGAGCCAGGAGTAACCCCTGTGCATCGTTGGGTGTGATCCAAAAAGAAAAAAAATGTTTGTTTGCTTTTATTGGGGTGGGAGTTGGGGAGCTGGACCACATCTGATGGTGCTTATGGACTCCTGGTTCTATGCTCAGGGATCATTCCTGGCACTACCTGGGTGATCATATGTGGTACCAGGGTTCTAACTGAGGTCAGTCGCATGCAAAGCAAGCTACTCAACCCTTGCAGTCTCTCTGGCCCAACTGAAAGTTTATTGCACATCACACTTAGAACAGTATAGAAAATTCACTGGAAGAAACAATGGAATGGGAGAATTCTGTCTGGCTATTTTTCCTCCAGCAGAGTATAAACAATGAAGACCTCCAGGGAGTGACATATGCCCAAGTGAACCATGCAAGACTCAGGCAGAGAATAACAGAGAAAAAACACTTCTCTTGGTGGGGATGGCTCCCAGGCTTTTCCCATTCCAGCCACAAACTTACTGCCCCTCCCTCTGCTCCAGAAGATACCTGAAGAACTCCAAGATGTCACCTATGAGAAATTGAGCCACTTTGCTATCAGAAAGCAAACTGCCACTCCCTCATTAGATATCCCAGAAGACCATAGTGTGTATGTGGCTCTGGCATCCACTAGCACAGCACCGAAGGAGGGGCCTTACAAATGTGGGGGAACACCTCCCCTGGACCCCCCCACCTCCAGCATTACTGAGTTTGGTCTGTCAGACCACTGTCTCAGGTCCTCCTGGGGCCCCAAACCAAGGGTAGCTGGCTGTTAGATGAGGGATGGGGTGGCCTCAAGACTGCATCCACAGATACTCGACTAACAGACTACAGACTAGACACTTCAGCTTTTGGAACCTTTTGCAACCCAGTGTACCATGCTCTTTACAGCTTACATCCCTACCAAAGTGACTAATTCCAAGGACTCTGATGCTGCCATCAAGACCCTACACCCATTCCAAATAAGCTCAAATGACTTAAAAGCCACCCTCACCTCCCCACCAACCAGACGGCCTTGCAACCCCCTGGGTACAGCTACTGAGGTTTCTGGTTTCCCAAGCCACTTCCTCCTCTGCCTGAAATGGCTTTTTATCACTAGAGAAAAGGGAAGGAGGTCTCCTTCCTGACCCCAAATGTCTTCAGAAACCTCCAATGCAGGGTTTTTGTCTTTTGAGCCACATTTGGCCATGCTGGGGCAGGGCTATTTCCTGCCCAGGTTTGTAAGACCACAGCCACATTGGTGCAGCGCCAAAACCTGTCCCCCTCATGCACAAAGCATAGGTCCAGCCCTTTGAGCCATCTGCCAGTGCTTCGCTGGGTCCTTTTTCATTTCATTTCATCATCCTGTTAATCGTCGATTGCCTCGAGCAGGCCCCAGTAACGTCTCTTTCATCCTAGCCCTGAGATTATATTCACGGCTCTTTAGGAGAATGAGACCCATCATTGTTACTGGTATTTGGCATATTTGGTAGGCCACGGGGAGTTTGCCAGACTCTGCCCTGTGGGCAGGCTACATTCGATAGCCTGCAAGTTTGTCCAAAGTAGGAATGAGATAATAAGATGTCATAAAGAAAAGTTCTGATAAGATGTCCCGGTTCCGGGATCTGGATTTTATAGTCTCTGAGTCTTGGCCGCTGATGGGATTACACGGCGCCAGGGGGCCAGGTGGTGGGTGTGACCCCCGCCTACTGGAATTTGGAGGATCTGGGTGGAAGATGCTCGACTCCAATTCGAGTAGGCTTGGAGGTCTCGGCCCCGGAACCCGCGTGGCTTTGTCCCTCTGCCAGTACCTTCAGGTGTGCGGAGAGTGGTCTCAGCATGGTGGTGGCTGGTCCTGGAGGTCTCCGGCTGCCGTAGCCCTGGCCGGGGCGGGGAGGAAAGCTCAACCCGCTCCCCTCCAAGGGACTCCGGGAAGGAACACCCAGGCGCGGGGGCAGAGACTGCAGTCTCTGCCCCCGCTGGGTCCTTAATCCTATCTAATCAGGAGTGCAGAGCCAGGAGTAACTTCTGCATCGCTGGATGTGACCCAAAAAGGCAAAAAAAAATTAGGGTGAGAGTGGGCTAGGAGTTGATGGCATCCCGCAGAGATCCAGCAGTTAGTGAAAATTTTTTTCCTTTTCCATTTTGGATCACACCTAGCAATGCACAGAGCTTACTACTGGCTCATGCACTCAGGAATTACTCCTGGCAGTGCTCCAGGGATGTAAAATCTTATCATGCCGAAGGTTGTGTGTTCACGGGCTCACTGGATGGCACTGTCTCACCGCCTGCGTTCGGTGCTCTTGAGCCGCTGTGTGTGGCCTGGATCAGAACGGCTGTTGGCCAAGGGCAGACGGAAGAAACAAGGGCGAGGCCAGTCGGTCTGTATCAATAGTAGTTTATTCCAATCCTCTTCACTCCCGTCTTTCTCTGCCTCCTTCTCTCCTGGGCCCCAATCTTGGAACCTCTCTCCTTCTGGCTCTGAGTCTGGATCTCTGGAGCTCGAGTTCTCTCGCTTCTGACTCTCCTCTCAGAGCTTATTTTATATAGCATATAGCATATGTGACTGCTATATAAACTAAGATATATTTTATATATCTTAGTTTATATAGCAGTCACATAAGGCAGTGACATAAAGGTGGGTTGAATACTGACGAATCAACAAAGAGAGGTAAGATCACTCCTCCAGGAGATTAACTCAAGGATAAAATCTCATCTACAGAGATTACTTCAGATTACTAGGAGATCTCCCCAAGGGTGGGATCCCAACAAGGGTGTGTTCTTCCCTCAGTTAGTAATCTACTTAAATAGTTGTAATAAATCTACTTCTAATATTTCTAGCAATGTCATTCTGTATGAGCACAGTAAGAGATATAAATTTAGTTTGGTTCTTCCTGAGAACATCTCACTATACATTTTGCAGTCCTCAGGCCAAGTTAATCTTTCTAGCTCCAGTAGGGTCCTAGTCTCGTCGTTACTTACTTTTGGATCATGACAGCATTTGTCCATGATCATGCCCTCAACTTATAGTTGAGTATCTTGGCTCTATGGCCTGGCCCATTTCGATGCCAGGGTAGCTCACAGCTTGCCCGGGGTCCATTCATTCCCTCGTCGGGACCCTGCTTTTGGGGTGGTAGGAACTAAGGGAAACTGAGTCAAGAAATCAGATGCTCAAGAATAAATATTATTCGGAGTCAATCAACTCCCAAGTTACAAAGCATAATACTGTCTTCCTGTGTCCACACAGAAGGGACACTGCTTACAAGTTCAGTGTCCTTAGATGGGTGTGACCTGACAAATCTAAGCTACCTAAAGAACAAGAGTGTTATCCTACACAGGGACCATATGGGATGCTGGGAATCGAACCCAGGTTGGCCGCATGCAAGGCAAACACCCTGCCCGCTATGCTACTGCTCCAGCCCTGTGAAAATGGTCTTTAATTACATTTTTAAGAGAAACATGATTTGCAGGTGCCATCAGCATAATGGTTGGTGTCGTTATTGTTGCCTTTTATGATTGGGACTTATTCCTGGTGGTGCTCAGGGGACCACATGGGATGCTGGGAATCGAACCCAGGTCAGCCGTGTGCAAGGCAAACACCCTACCCACTGTGCTATCTCTCCAGCCACTCACCCTAACTTCTAAAGAGCCAGAAAAGTCAAATGTGCCCTCTACCTCCTGTGCCTGGAAATGACTCCCAACCCACAACATACATGTAGTTCACTGCTGTCCCACTGTGACAGAGGCATGAATAGACGCTGTTCCCTTCTGTACCCAGCAGTCCCAACAATTCAAGCATGCTGTTCTATATGGAACGGGTACCAGAAAAGAACACAAAGAAACATCCCAAAATGTGAATATTTTTTAATATCTGGTGGAAAACTAGAAATGCCCCACCAGTCAGAAGAGGATCACGAAGCTTAATCCTCCTCCTCATCATCACCTGCGCCAGCCCCTCCCTGTCCCTTCTTGGCGTTCTTCCTCTTCACGCGGCCAGGGCGCCCACCACCGTATGGTGATCGAAGGGAGAAGTCAATATGCTTCTGGGAGTCCAGGCGAACGATGAAGGATGGAATATTCACCACCTGCTTGCGGACCCTGGAAGGAGATGGCCAGTGAAGGGGGTGCGGAAATAGCCACAAAGCCCCACCCACTGCCTCCACTTGTATCATGGTGACCGTCATGCAAGGCCATCCTGATCCTATCCAACTACTGGGCTCAAAAGTCGCAGTTGCAGGGGGCTGGAGCAATAGCAAAGAGGGTAGGGCGTGTGCCTTGCACGCAGCCAACCCGGATTCGATTCCCAGCATCCCAGATGGTCCCCTGAGCACCACCAGGGGTGATTCCTGAGCAGAGCCAGGAGTAACCTCTGTGCATTGCTGGGTAAAGGTAAAAGGTAAAGGCCCTCCCGTTGATCGTCGATTTGCTCGAGCGGGCCCAGTAACGTCTCCATTGGAGACTTTGTTGTTACTGTGTCTGGCATATTGAATACTCTCAGTAGCTTGCCGGGTGCATTGCTGGGTGTGACCCAAAAAGCAAAAAAAAAAAAAAAAGTCGCAGTTTCAGTGCCTGAGTTCTAATTTTACAGGACAGCGAGAAGCAAAAACAAGAAAGACCAAAGTGTGAAGATACTGAACCTGAGATCTGATTTTTCAATATTCTAACTGCCAGAATCATGAAGTTTAATTCCATTTCCCCAGACTAGCAACCTGAAATTAGGCTGCATAAAATCAGCTCAGAAAAGCAAGAGGCCTGTATGTCCCAGAGCTGAAGGACAAAAGCCAAAATTCCCTGTGCAGTTATCCTACCCACTTACGACAGCACAGCTTTTGGTACTGCTGCTCAGTTCATGGAAAAGGCAAACCGCAATCCTAGGCCCACTTTGTGCTATCACAGCAGCTGGGTGCCAGCAAGGCGTGGCAATGCAATTTCACCAGGGTCTGGTTTCCAACCTCTTTTTACCTAGTATGGTAGCAATCAAGTGGCAGCCACTCACCCACGGCTGACAGTCAACCTCCCCACTAGCAGATCAAGAGCTGTTTACCTGTCCACCTGCCTGATGCCGGGCAGAAGCTTTCGCAAGGTGTACGGCTCAGGCCGCAGTGACCCTTGCGCCGGGCTACTGGAGAGTGGGGCTGTTTGTGATGCTCCCCCACTCTCCACAAGCAGTGTGTCTAGGTTAATCTGCACCCTCAAGGTTAAGCTCAAACCTTTCACCTCCAAGGGCTGCACAAGAGACAGATAGCAGGCTTAGTGAGGCAAGGATGGGAGTGGATGCAAAGGCCCTGAAGCCCACAAATGGTACCTGATGTGACGCTGACGGATCAGCACCCGAGCATGGTGGATGGACTTGGCCAAGCCTAACTTGAAGACCTGCGTCTGCAGCCGCCGCTCCAAGAAATCCTCAATCTTCAGGCCCAAAATATAATCCAGCTTCATCTTGCCCTCATCAAGCACGCCAATGCGGACCAGCCGCCGCAGCAGGGCATTACCTGGAAAGAGAAGCAATCATAGATTCTGACCTCGGCTATTCCAGCAATATAAGTAACATCCAGAAGTAACTGTACAGACCGGTAAGCTCCAGTTCAGAGGTATGAGCTCCATTTGGCTGTCCCCCTGTTGTTCATGGATTTGCTCAAGCAGGCCCAGTAATGTCTTCATTTTGAGACTTGTTACTGTGTTTGGCATATCGAATAGGTCACAGGTAGCTTGCCAGGCTCTCCGGGAGGGGCAGAGGAGTCAAACTCGAGTCAGCCATGTTGGCTGCATGCAAGGCAAACACCCCACCACTGTGCTATTGCTCCAGCCCTCCATTTGGCTAATAAAAAGACGGGGCACAATGGGTAAGGCTTGCACCCAGCTGACCCCGGTTCAATTCCCAGCATCCCATATCGTCCCCCGCCAAGCACTGCCAGGAGTAATTCCTGAGTGCACGAGCCAGGAGTAATCCCTGTGCAACACGGGGTGTGACCCAAAAAGCAAGAAAAAAAACAAAAAAAAAACACTAAAAATTTCAGATTTCAAAAATAATTTTCAAGTTTAGTTTAGTAAGACATTTACTGACCTTTAAATGATATTAAAATAACTAGGACATTAAAGAACAGATTTACCTATTTTTATTTTGCACTTTATATGTAATCCAAGCTTTTAATTTTAAATGCTTGATACTGGGGCTGAAGTACAAGGAATATAGCACTTTGCACGCTGAACTGAGTTTGATGCCCCCAGTATCCTGTGATACCCCAAGCCTGCCAGGAATCCCTGAGCAGACAGAAGCAAGCCCTGAGCACAGCTGTGCATGACCCAAAAAACGAGCAAAACTTTGACTTAATCATTGTTCAAAGAACACTCTGCCCAAACTCCTGCAAGCATATACTGCAATTACTTTTGGTTTGGGGGAGGCTTTTTGGGTCACATTCAGTGATGCTCAGGGGTACTCCTGGTCCTGCACTCAGGAGACCCTATGGGATACCGGAGATCAAACTCAGGTCAGCTGCATGCAAGGAAAATGCCCTACCCACCGCCCTTCCAGGCCCTGAAATTACCTTTCTTTGGGGGGGGACCAAACCACAGTAATACATACTATGTCCTAATATGTCCCTTTTTGATTTCCCAAAATATTAATTTGACTAATTTAAAAAAGTGTGTATATAAATTCTTATCTGTAACTGGTGTCAATTTTTAATCTTTTAACAGAAAAAGATGACGTAACAATGCAATCATACATGTCTTCCCACCTGTGATGGGAAACAACAACTAGAGAATGGAATTTGATGCCTGTTAAGTTCAGGCAAATGTCTTAGAGAAACCTTCCATTTAAGTAACATTTCTGCCTAATATCAGTGTTAGTGGGAAAGGCGGAAGGGAAACATGGCTAGGCCAGTGAGTCAATACTGCAGGCACTGCAGGCTCAGCTTTCTGTTGTAGGGGGCTAGATGGCTTTTTTTGAGGAGAGGTAAACAATTTTTATTAATTAGCATTATTTTGAATTATAAATGTTCAATAAAATTATGATTACATGAATTTCAAGCAGTATGTTTTAGTCAGATTCTTGAACACAAGTCAGAGAAATTACTTGATCATTTGACTGGGCTCAAATATTAGAAGGTGAGGAGCACATGGGCTACCAAGGAAGGACCTGGGGTAGTCAGGAGGATGACTGGGGACCACAAATGGTGATAAATGGCTTCATTTACTAGATAAAACCTTGGACTCCAGCCTCTCAATCTCATCCTGTCATGTCATGTCATCCCTGCCACCAGAGTGGGATCTTAAAAATTTAAGCCAAACTTAAATTTCACTGAAACTTCCAAGAAGCTACAAAACAATGTACTGAAGGGTCAAATTACTTAATAAAACCCCACCCGGTAGCACAAACAGAAGGGGACTTCAGAATGTGTGCTGTGTGTATCCTTGAGTATTACATGTAGGCATTTATATTCTGCAGTCCTCCCTTGAGCGCCCATCAATGTAGGAATTTAGAATGGCAAATTTTATCGCACCTCAATTTCAAACTCCCAAGTTTCTCCACATGATCTGAGTGTCCTCTCATCCATACATTCCCTCAGGTGTCACTTAGACAAAGGCACACAGCGAGGTCCCTTTGAACCATCATTAGTATACAATGTAACAATCGCCCGGGACTTGTGACCAGGCTTTTCTGTACAGGGTTTCCTCTTAGCCAAGAGTAAACTGAAGCACCGATGCTGAAGTAGAATAAAACTACACGCATAAGGGACAGCGGAAATTGGCTCTTTCCCGATCCCCTGGTCCTATTAAATGGCCGCCCTCCCGGGGCTCCCTCCGGCCCACCTTCGAAGAGACGACGCGGGTCCTTCTCGTCCAGCGTCAGCAGCTCCCGGGCGGCCTTACGGATCTTGGCCAGAGTAAACTTCACCCTCCAGACCTCTCGCTTGTTCCGGAGCCCATACTCGCCTGCAAGAGAGCGGGTGGCTTAACGACAACCCACTCGGTCCCGCCGGCCAGTGGCCTCGGCTCAGAGTATCTGATCCCGGGGAAGCGCCAACTCAAAGCTGGGAGGAAAACGCCGGGAAAACCCAGTAGGACAGACACGTGGCGAGCCACCCACCAGCCTCCCCCAACCCCCGCGGCCCAAACCCGGGCCCTGCCACTCACCGATCAGCTTCAACTCCTGATCGAGGCGGGATTTCTCGAAGGGTCTCCGCGGGGTCACGTAAGTTTTGCGACAAACCCAGCTCCGAGCCACCGGCATGTTGGCTCCGTTCGGCCGCCTGCGCGGAGGGGGAAGGCAAGGACCGTGAGGCGGCGGGGCCGCGCCTGCGCAATCGCACAACGGCGGCCGAACCTCGTGGAGGCCCACGCGGTTCTCGCGAGACCCGCAGCCGCGGCGTCTGCAGCCGGTATCAGGCTCACAAACGCGGCCAGACCCGCCCGATCACTGTATTTGCGTCGCCAACTTCCCTCCCGTTCTTGCGGAAGGTCCCCGCTACCAGAGAACAACCCCCCGCAACCCCCTCGACCGCGGCACGAAAGCTGGAGGAGAAGCTCACCCTAGCGCAGCCCTCAGCCACGGGAAAGAGGAGCGCGCGCGCCCCCGCGGCGCTTTTATAGCTCCGCCAGCGCCCCGTGACGTCAGCGCGCACGGCGCTCACCTGGACCAATCAGAAGAGGCGCCGGTGGCCGGAGGCCGAGTGGAGAGGGGCGTTTATCTGGAACTGCGCGCCCGGCTTCTCTCGCTCGCGGGCCGGCTTTGGTGTCAGAGCCGGGGCCAGCGGGAGGTCCGCAGGCCCACGGCGGAGGCACCTCGGGTCCCGCCCGCTGGCCACTGAGTTTTGCTGTACTTTGGGATCATGGCTTGACCCGCAAACTCCTCCCGGATCCCGCTCTGAGAACCTGAGGCCTTCCCGGCGGCGCGGCTGAGGGGAGGCCGCGCATTGTCGCCCGCCCCCGAGCGCCTCCTCACTCGCGGACGGAGCAGCACGCGGGGACGGATGGCGGCCGAGTGAGGGCGGGGAGCGAGCGGCGGGACGGCGCCTATCGAGGGTCTGGGCACAGATAAGCCCCTCGAGCCCCGCCGGCTGTGGACTCCAAGCCGGAACCGGTCCTGGGGACCGGGCTGAGCGCGGCTTTGAATGCGGGCGCCCTGGTTCCATCCCTAGCGCCGCATTGCCCTGAGCACTTCTGGTGTGGCCCAAGAAGTACAGAAAGTGACTGGGGGCTGAGCCATGGTACAGAGAGAGGGTAAGGCCGCTCCGGGTTCGATCCCGGGCACCCCATATGGCCACAGTACGGCCAGGTATAAGCCCTAAGCATCGCCGCGTAAAAAAAAAAAAAAGACTGGGGGCTGCAGAGCTAGTACTGTGGTTGAAGCACTTCCCTTGCACAGAGCTGACCCAGAGTCAGTCCCCGTGACCCATCTATATGGTTGCTCCAGCCCACCTCTGTGATCCCTGAACAGAGCCGAGAGGAAAAAGCCTTGAGCACCGCCAGGCATGGGTGGGCCATCTGGCCATCTAGCATGCTCGAAGCCTCATATTCGATCCCTGGACCTGCATGGCTGCAAGTGTGGCCAGACATACCCTGGGGTGAGCATTGAAGGACTAATCCCCCCACCCCGCGGCAAAAAAAAAAAAAAAAACTACTACTGGCTTTTTTAATTCGGGGGCAATATTCATCAGTGCCTGAGATGAAGCACAAGACCTCCCTATAGGGAAAATGTACTCAGCCACTCTAGCTGGGCTGAGGTATGTATGTGTTTAGGGGGGTGGGGGGGGGAATAGCAGGGGTATAAGGTTGAGCCGCACCCGGCAGAGTTTAGGGGCTCATCTGGCTCTGTGCCCAGTAGTGATCCCTGGCAGTGTTCGGGGGACACTTTGTGGTGCCAGGGCTTAATGGGAGTTAGCTGAGGGCAAGCTTTGTTGTCAAAGGCTTTAAGGGAGGGTCCAGCATAATACAGCCAGTAAGGCACTTGACTTGCACATGGCCAACATGAGTTCAATCCCTGGCACTCCATATAGTTCCCCAAGCCCCAGCAGGTGTGACCCCTGAGCCCACAAGCCCTGAACACCACCAGGTGTGGCCCCAGAGCAAAAACAACCAAAGACTTTAGTACAATGATGCCCTTACAGAAAGCGCAGGCTCCATCCCTGGCACCACTTTTGGACCTCCAGATCCCAGCCAGGAGTGATGCCCGAGCACAGATCTAGAAGTAAGGCTTCAACGCTTCCAAGTGTGGTTCAACTCCTCTTCACCCCCCCCACCCCCGCAAAAAAAGGGGAAAAAAAAAGTTTTTTTTTCCCTCTGTTGCTGTTCAGCGTTGGTCTCTGGGTTCAGGGCCCTGAATATGCTGTGTGGCCCCAAAATAAAAATGTTTGAATTCGCATCATTCGAGGCCAGGATCAATAATAATGGCACAGCAGGCAGGGTGTGTGCCTTGCATGCAGATGACCTTGGTTCAATCTCCAGCATCTCATGGTTTCCTGAGCTCTCCAGGAGTGATATCTTGAGTGCAGAGCGAGGAGTTAGCCCAAAAAATACCTCCCACCCCCCAAAAAATCAACTCATTTGTTTGGTTCCCTTGGCAACAGGCCCTCAGTTTTCAGGGATTCCCAAAATTGTCTCAGCATAAACACCTGAATTGTTGAACAGGGATTTTTTTGTTTTGTTTTTAGATTATTTTTTTTATTAGTGAATGACCATGGGGTACAGTTAGAAACTTAGGAACTTTCATGTTTCCCTTACAGTTATACAATGATCATTTACCCATCCCTCCACCAGAGTCCATTCTCCCCCACCAATGTTCCCAGCATCCCTCCCCACCACCCCACCCCACCTCAGCAAGAGGGCATTCCCTTTTATTCTCTCCTTTTGGGTGTTGTGATTTGCAATAGAGGTATTGAGTGGCCATTGTGTTCCATCTATAGTCTACTTTCAATATGCGTCTTTCAACCTCCCAACTCGCGGTTGGGATGGTCCTCCCAACATCCTTTACTTGGTGTTCCCTTCTCTATCTGAGCTACCTTCCCCCCCCCCCCCCCCCCGCATGTGAGGCCAGTTTCCAAGCTGTGGAGCAGACCTCCTGGTCCTTATCTCTACTACTCCTGGGTGTTAGTCTCCCATTCTGTTCCTTTATATTCCACAGATGAGTGCAATCTTTTTATGCCTGTCCCTTCTTTCTGACTCATTTCACTTAACATGATACTTTCCATGTTGATCCACTTATATGCAGATTTCATGACTTCATCTTTTTCTAACAGCTGCATAGTATTCCATAGTGTGATGTACCAAAGTTTCTTTAACCAGTCATCGAACAGGGATTTTTTTTTTTATCATTAAGATACCCTTGTGGCTCTTTCACTTATGAAATCCAAGGGTTTCAGAAGCTAGTTTTCAAAACCAAATATCTTTCATTTTGTGAAAAACACTTTCCTAAGTGGCATTCCAACCAGTAGAGTTCCTTTTATTCCACATCCCCACCAATAGTGGATGTCGGTGTTTGGGATTTGGGCCATTTCAAATTGGTGTGCAATGGTGTTACATTGCTGTTTTAATTTGCATTTCCCTGATAAACATGGAGCATTCTTTTCAACTACCTATGAGCCATTCACTTTTCTTAGGTGCCTTAAGGATCCACAAATACACATTTATACAAGTTTATTGAGACCCAAACCCTGTAGAAAACACACAAATAAAGTCCAGTCTTCTCAGGTAACTCAGTTTCAAAACAACTACAAAAACCACATAGCCAAGAAGTGCTTTGTAACAGAGGAACCTAAGAAGCATGAAGTATAAGTCTGAAATCAAACACAGGGTGCTCTAGCTTCCATGCAGAGATGAGCTCGGGAATATCCAAAAAGGCTCCTGTCACAGGCACGGCCCCATCCCAGGTCTCTGGAGCTCACTGTAAGCTGGCCCACTGCAGGGAGGTATAGACCACCTTACCATCAGGCTGTGGGGAACAGAGAAGCAGTGTCTTCCTGACGCTGGTTCCCAGACGGCCGGCAGACACCAGGTCCTGTAGAGGAATGGCGTCCTCAGGAGCCCAGCACTGAGCGATGTAGTGAGCATGGAAACGGAGTGGGTCGCCTGGGTAGGGGAAAGATGCAGCTAGCAGTTTCCAGTGCCAGAGTACTTGAAGTATCCAGAGGAAATGGAACATTTTAGTGATTGCTAACATTTTTGTGGGGAGCCCGGAGAGATAGTACAGCCTTCTATGCAGCCAACCCAGGTCCAATTCCATTCACTCCATATGGTCCCTGAACCCTACCAGGACTGATCCCTGAGTGCAGAGCCGGGAGTAAACCCTGAGTGCCATTTGTATGGCCCAAAAACCAAAAATTTTGTGGGAGACCTCCCAAGCAGTGCTCAAGGGACTAGAGGTCACTCCCTGTGATACTCAGCCCTAGTGATTAGTGACGCTTGGTCCAGCAATGCCGGAAACTACCAGAGCCACACACAGTAACACTTGGGATCCCTGTAGTACCCAAAATTGACCTCGGAGCTTTGTGCATATCAGCCCTCCAGTACTTCAGCCCTGAGATGTCTTTCTGGCCTATCAGTTAAGATTTCAGTCTGAAGGGCCGCAGCAATAGTGTAGCAGGGAAGGTGCTCGCTAGGCATTCCATATGGTCCCCTGAGCCAGGATTGACTGCAGAGCCAGGAGTAAGCCTGGCGCACTGCTAGGTGTGGCTCAAAAACAAAAGAACAGAACAAAAAATGATTTCAGTCTAAGGGCCCACAGTGATGATTGCTTGAAAGAGAACATGATTTGTTCAGTCCCTGGCACCACACAGACCTTTGCAAAGCTATAATCCAAAATTAAAATAAAAATTTTGTCTGAGAAAAGTCATCTGCAAATGACTTAAGGGCAGTTCCCAACCTTTCCTATGATCTGACTACTTAAAGGGGCTTTATTTTTCCTTCTTAGGGTCATTTTATACAGATTTATTTTTCTTCACTGCTTAATTCCACAATAAAGTCACTCATTACAATATGTTTTGGGGGGAGGGCCATACCCACTGTACTCAGGGTTTGTTCCTGACTCTGCACTCAGGGACCATTCTTGGGAGGGCTTTGGAACTATATGGGTTGTAAGGAATCAAACCTGGGTTGCTCACGTGCAAAGCAAACACTCTATCAGCTGTACTATTGCTCCGGTCCCTCACTACCAATTTTTTAATTCACTGTGATTCCCAACATCACATGGACCCTGAGCACTACCAGATGTGGCCCAAACACCACCACAAAATTGATTTTTATCATGCAGTCACAGTCACAGTCCTCCCGTTGATCATCGATTTGCTCGAGTGGGCCCAGTAATGTCTCCATTATGAGACTTGTTGTTACTGTGTTTGGCATATCGAATATACCACGGGGAGCTTGCCAGGCTCTGCCAATCTTCTATCATGCATCTTTATCATTTATCATGCATCTTCTACAAATTGTTCTTTTTCCCTTTATAGTTATTTGATTAAAAAGGCATGTAGTATGTGAACCTCCATTCTCTTTCTCACAATTAATGTTTCTATAACAACTGACATTTCACTAAACAACTAATAATCATCTTGGTGGGCTGGAGCAATAGCACAGCGGGTAGGGCGTTTACGCCTTGCACACAGCCAACATGGCCGATCGGAGTTTGATTCCTCCGCCCCTCTCGGAGAGCCTAGCAAGCTACCGAGAGTATCTTGCCCGCACCGAAAAGCCTGGCAGGCTACCCATGATGTATTCGATATGCCAAACACAGTAACAATGTTACTGGGCCCGCTCAAGCCAATCAACGAACAATGGAAGGACAGTGACAGTGAATCATCTTGGCTGTTTCTAGTATTTTAGTACTATAAAGAATCCTACAATGAATACTTCTGGGTTCAGCTAGGGGGGTTGGGGGTTTCTTTTTTATACACTTTACATAAATAGCTATGTAAGTTTCTTAGGGGAACTTCTGGTTCAAAGTAGTGTATGGTCAAAAGGACTAAATTGCTATCCAAATGATCTTGGATTCCTGAGTGCTTCTTGCCTTTCCAAGGGCCTCAGAAAAAGAAAAATTAGACAAAAGTGAAAATGCAGACTACAGTGGGATTGTGAAGAACAAGTACCAACCCAGACTCACCAGGATAGACCAGGAAATCTCCCCCAAACTTGCCCGCAGCACTGAGGAAGAAGCCTCGTTCCCACAGGTCTCTGTAGATGCTGTAGCGCAGCTCATGGGCAGGCCGGCCAGCATGAGGCCAGTCTTGGGACTGGACACGCCAGTCTAGGGGCCTAGCCTTGATGGGCCTAGGCCGAGCGGTGGCCAGCTGAACGAGCAGCGCAGACCTGGGCAAGGGAGCCACCCCATTTGAAGGTCCTGATTGGAGAGATGAGGAACCTGGGAGAGAAGAATGGAAGAGTTCGGTAACTTCAAAGGATAGGGGCTTCCCAACATCCTCAGGGAGCCCCAGGCCCTGGTGCCCATCAGAAGTTCTCAAAGACCCTCGTCTGCCCTCCCTCATTGGAGTCTGCCTCTCCACGGCACCTGCTTCCTCAGGCTCTTCAGAAGTGGGGTTGGCAGTGGCCTCGTTCTCTCCTGCAACTTGGTTCCCACTGGCTTTCTCCTGGCTCTCACTGGTGCCTGAATCTTCTAGCTTCTGCCTCTTGGCAGCCTGGCCCTCGGCAATCTTCTGCAGGAGCTCCTGGTGCCTGGTCTCACGGGCTTCGGCCGCGAGGGCACTCTGTTCCTGGAAGCCTTGCTCTTGCTGGCGCTTAAAGGACTCCAGGGCCTGAGAAATAAACTTCGCTGGAACCTGATTCAGGCATCGCTGTTCAGTGCGAAGTCAGGAATTCAACTTTCGGGCCCCTTCCTGACTCGGGCCTTTATGCGGGGGATCCCAGACTATTAACACGTTATTCCATAATCCCTCCCATACAGGATCTCCAGGCTCTTCTCCCCCGGGTGCAATCCGCCTCCTTACCAGGCTGTGTTGGTGTGGATCCGGCCGCGGAGCGCAGACCAGGGTCACGGCACCGATCTCAGCCAGGAGCCGCGCCTCCTCCGGCATCAGCAGTAGTGGGAGGCCCAAGCGCGAGTTCTGGCGAGGCCCCCTGGGCAGGGCGCCCACTGTACGGCCCCCCACGCCCAGTCGCTCCCGCAACGCCTGCACCGCCTCTGCCCCCCACACCAGGGAACGGCCGTTGGCCACTTCCACCACCAGCATCCTCCTGCGGGAGCCGGGTACAGGTAGTCAACAAACAGGGACAGAGCCGCCCGCGTCCCAGAGCGTTCCAAACGCCTCCTGGGCTCCTCAAAATCCCGCCCCCGGACCCCGCCCCCAGAGTTGAAGGGTGGAGCTTCCCCCGGGTGGACCTTTACCACCTGCCTCGTGCAGGCTAGGTCCCACCCCCGAGTATCCCTTCAGGCTCCGGGGCCCGAGGCCACGCCCCCTCCCTAGCGAGATCCGCTGGGCCAATCAAAAGAGGAGACCGGCGCTAAACCCGGTCCTGCTCCGAGGGTTTTTCCAGCCCTATTGAAAAGTAGGCGTCTTCCCAGGGCCGAGGCCACGCCCCCATGGATGGCTCGGAGCCTGGCCCCTCTTCTCGAACTACCGAAAGGCCAGTTCGAACTGGCCGAGCTACCCTAGGGCCCCCACGTTCGGAATGGGAGCCCCACAGCCGAGGCTCCGGCTCCGGCCGAGAGCCAGCGTTCCTGCGTTCGGAATTCGGGGCGACACGGGTGCCCGCGAATCAGGCGGTGGGGGGCCCCATCCTTCCCACTCGCGAGCGCTGCGTCTACTTCCTCGCTCCCCTTCGCCACGCCAGTTCGCAGTCCAGGCGGGAACACCCCTACGTACCGCGCCACGCGCCGCTTCATACATACAACCCCGCTACCAAGCCGACCCCTCGAGCCATCGACACCTCAACGAGGCGGGAAACCCTGGGCCGCCCCGCAGCGCCGTCGTCCCGCCTTCCCTTTCCAGTGGACAACTTAGTCCCCCCAATTCCCCCTCTCTCAGCCGACTGCTTCACTCTGGCCTCAGCACCTCCGAGGGCCGTAGCCCCTCCTACGGGCCGACCGGGTCCGGAGGAAACTCAAATCGGGCCCCGCCCACATCCGGCCGGAAGTCTTGGCCCCGCCCACGCCCAAGGGGAGCAGTGAGGGGTTCGACTATCTCCGAAGAGAGCCGAAGGCCGCCGTGCCCACTCCAACACCCCGGCTGAGCTGCCTCGGACTCTGCCCGAAGGAACGCGAAGCAGGGGCCCGCCCCCTCCCGAGCGCTGAGCCCAAGCCCCGCCCCTTCTGGTCCGTCACGGTGCTCGCAGCACGAAGCTCCGGGCCCCGCCCTTTCCCGAGCCCGGAGCCCCTCCCCTCTACGTGCTCGCGGCTCGGAGGATAGGGATCCCGGTACAGCTGCGGACTCGTGCTCACTGCGCCCGGGCCCGGTGTCTTCCCGGCTCGGCCCGCCCCGCCGGTTCGGGACTTCGCAGCCGGGTGGACCCCGTAAAAGGAGGCGGCGCGGGGGCGTGCAGGGCGGGGGAGGCGTGGCCGGGCGAGGGCTGGACCGGGAGCTGCACGGCCCGCCGCCACTGTTCGGCTGCCTCCTGCCCGGCAGGCGGCGCGGAGCCGCGGGCCCAGGTGGGCAGGGGCGCCTGGATGAGGTGGAGAGGAGGTGGGGGTGGGACAGCGTGGGGCGGCGGGGTACCGAGGCGTCGGGCGGAGTGCGATCAGGCGGGGAGGTGTCGTAACCGCCTGTGGCATTGCCGGAGCCGATCGGACAGCTCTAGGTGCGCGCCGCAGGAGCGAGGCTGGGGAAGGGACTGAAGCGGGGAGACCGCCCCCGGTTTCAGGGTGCGAACCCCGAAAGGTCTGCGGGCCTGCGCTCCAGAGAGCGGGTTTTCCAGGAGGGTGGGAACTGGGGGTCAGGAGAGAGCGCGGGGTGCCTGGGTCCTCGCAGGAGAGTGGGGTGGGGGGCTGCGAGAGGCGTCCTTTCTGGGTTCTCCGCAGAGCCGTACCCGCCTGGAGCCTGGATCCTCGGTGGGGGTGCGGGAAGCTAAACCCGGAGGGCTGCATTCTGGATCCAGCCCTGGAGCTCCCCTCCTGCCCCTCCCCAGACCATGTCGCCTGAAGAATGGACGTATCTAGTGGTTCTTCTTATCTCCATCCCCATCGGCTTCCTCTTTAAGAAAGCTGGTGAGTCAGATTCCCTCCCCAGTGGAAAATAAAAAGGGGGGCCGGACTGGGGGACCCTTTGGAAGGTCCCAGGCTTATGCTCTCCTTTCTCCCTGCAGGACCTGGGCTGAAGCGATGGGGGGCAGCTGCCGTGGGCCTGGGGCTCACCTTGTTCACCTGCGGCCCCCACACTTTGCATTCCCTGATCACTGTCCTTGGGACCTGGGCCCTCATTCAGGCCCATCCCTGGTGAGAAATTGGGGGCATGCTAGATGGGTGGGGCCACCTGTTTCCCCTGTCTGTCTCCAGGTCTCCTGCCTCTCTTGGGTGTCTCTTGTCTCTCTGTCGGATATGTTCCGTTGTCTTTTCTATGTCCTGCCTATTTCTGGGTTCTGCCACCACATTTGTTTCCAGGAGGATGTTCGTGGTCCCTGCCACAGTTCCCAACCCTCTCTTCCCCCAAAGGAAAGGAGGATTGGATGGGCTTCACCTAGAAGCTTCTCTTAGCCCTGCCTCCCCCTCTCCCCCCTTTCTGCTCTTTGAGTCAGCTCATTCCGTCACCCCACTTTTTGTCTGGGAAGGTGGGGGGAGGAGTATGGTGGGCTGCTGGGCTGTGCAGGGGTGCCCTCCCATGTCCAGCACAGCCGCCTCTGCCTCTACCCAGCTCCTGCCATGCCCTGGCCCTGGCCTGGACCTTCTCCTACCTCCTGTTCTTCCGCGCGCTGGGCCTGCTGGGCTTGCCCACCCCCACGCCTTTCACCAACGCGGTCCAGCTGCTGCTGACATTGAAGGTCAGACACTCCCATCCTTTTGCTCTCACTCCCCACCACTCCCCGGGCAGGTGGAGACCCCATCCTCTCTCAAACACCTTGAGACAGGACTTCATCCCTCAGCTTTTCCCTTGGGTCAGGAAGAACCCTACATAACTGAAGAAGATCACTGCGCCGGCCAGAGACAGCTCAGTGTCCACTGGGCACGGTGTAGGGTGTCTCATCCCACAGTGTAGGATAAGAGGCAGCTTTGGGAAGAAAGTGGTGACGAAAGAGTACCTGGGCTAACAGTCTAGACCTAAGGGCCCCCAGGGTGAAAATCAGCAATGGGGGGCCATGGTGGGAGACTAGGGGCCAGTCCACAGAAGGAACAGATCAGAGAGGGCTGAGCTACTGTTGAGCAGCCTGCTTCCGCCTCTGACTCCTATGGCCACAGGCCCCAGCCTTCCCCTCCAGCATGCACCAGGGAAACGGATCAGAGGCCAGGCCCACACACCTAAACCAGGGGCTCACTCATTGCTACCGAGTCTGGGGCTGCAGCGCCACAGCCCTGAACAGAAAGTGGTTCTCTGGAGGAAGGCAAGAGGTGGGAGCTCTGAAATATAGGAAGCAGCAGGGGTGGAAGGGTGCCTAACGATCCTCGGAGATGTCATTGTCAGTGGGTAGGGCATTTGCCTTGCACACAGCTGACCCAGGTTCAATCCCGGCATCACATATGGTCCCCCAAGCACTGCCAGGAGTAATTCCTGAGTGCAGAGCCAGGAGTAAGCCCTGATCATTGCCGGGTGTGACCAGAAAAAAAAAAAGGAGGGGCTGGAGCGATAGCATAGCAGGTAGGGCATTTGCCTTGCACGCAGCCAACCCAGGTTCAATTCCCAACATCCTATATGGTCCCCCAAGCACCGCCAGGAGTAATTCCTCAGTGCAGAGCCTGGAGCAACCCCTGTGCATCGCCAGGTGTGACCCAAAAAAGAAAAAGAAAGGAAAGAGAGAGAGATGTCCTTGTTCAGTGCCCGAGGAGGTCAAAATACTAGATCTAGGGACCAGAATGATAGCACAGCAGGATAGGCCTTTTCCTTACATGTGACTGACCCAGTTCGACCCTCGGCACCCCAAGTCCACCAGGAGTGATCCTGAGTGCAGAGCCAGGTGAAAGCCCTGCATAGAAGGGGCAGAAGGTGGGATTCCATCCTGAAAGTTTGGCTGCGTAGCAGGAATCTGCGCCATCAGTGTACCTCTAGCCTTTTTGCCGCATTGGGGGGGAAACTGAAGCTCTTCGCTGCAGCCTAGATAGGCCATGGGGGAGCTTAATGGGGACAGTGCCCACATCCTTGGCACCCAAGGAATCAAGAGATTGGCTTGGGTTCTACCGTCACCCCACCTTCTGCCCTCTGGGCTTGAGCCTCTCTGAGCCTGCAGCCCCTCTGGGCCTGAAGTTGCTGTTGGGAAGGGCAGTGAGTAGGGGAGGGGTGGACAGGGGTGTCCAGCCCCAGGATAGGGTGCACCAAGGTCAGAGTTGAGGAATGGGAAAGGCTTCCAGCCTGAGCTCTTGATTGTACAGCAACAGCCTTGACTGGCAGAGGCTGACCTGACGATCAGTCTGGAGTCCTGGGGGGTGGATAAAAGTATGAGGCACTCTGAAGGGACACAACGCAGGGTGCCTGCAAGATGGGGTGAATAGATGGGGGTTCTCAACAGAGCTTTGGGGAAGGGCCAGAGCACAGTAGTCAAGATATTTGCCTGGTGTGTGTGTATTTCACAGGGTGGAGTGTAAAAAAAGATATTTGCGTGGTATGGTTTGGTTTGGTTTTGGAGACACACCCAGCAGTGCTCAGGGCTGACTCCTGGCTCTGCACTCAGGGATGGCTCCTGGTGGACACAGGGGACCATATGGGGTGTTGGGTATCAAACTTAGGTCAGCTACGTGCAAGGCCAATACCCTACCTTCTGTACTATCACTCCTATTACTTGCCTTGGTGCACTGCCAACCCCAGTCCAAATCCCCAACACCACATAGGTCCTGCCAAGAGTGATCCCTGAGCACAGCATAGGCCCAAAACAGCCCAGAGAACAGCTCCAAGGAAGAAGCTGGGAGGGCCCAACAGAGAGCCCTGGGCCTCGGCCTTCAGCATCTCGTGGGGACTGGGAGGGAGGGAGGTGCAGGTTAGGCCAGGTCTGAGCTGCCCCCCAATCCCCCCAGCTCGTGAGCCTGGCCAGTGAAGTTCAGGACCTGCACCAGGCCCAGAGGAAGGAGATCGCCTTGGGCTTCCGCACTCCGCCCAGCCTGGGCATGATCCCCGACATCCCGTCGCTCCTGGAGACACTCAGCTACAGCTACTGCTATGTGGGCATCATGACGGGTGAGCACCCAACCCCCCCCCCCCAGCTCCCTGCCTTCCCTCCCAAGCCTTTGTCTCTGTCCACCCTGAGTGGGACCCCTCTGTCCATGGCAGGAAGTCATTTCCCTGGTGCCAGGCTCTCCTGCTTTTGGCACATCCCAGCCGGGTGCTGCAATCACACCATGTGCACCCACAGTGCGGCCATTGGGTCTTGGGGACATCTGCACAGCTGTGCCACTTTCACCTCAAAAAGAAGTCCCCACCTTTAAAGCAGCTTCCCCCGTAGCCTGGACAGGTGGGATGCAGCCAGCGAGCCCAGGATGGACACACCTTGTGGAGGCCTGCCCATGCTTCTCAGGCTCCCCAGAACAAAGCCCAGGGGCAAGCCTGGGAACTCTGCACCCTCCTCCCCCTCCTGAGCCCCTGAGACAAGGCCCATCCCCCATGTCCCCACCTTAGGGCCTGGTGTCTGTCCCTCTTCTCCCTGCTATCAGGGTTCTTGCAGCAGTACTCAGGGATTAGCAGTACTCAGTACTCCTGGCAGGATCCAGGGCATCCTCTGTGGTACCAGGATTTGAACCAGGGTCAGCTGCATGCAAGGCCAGCACTATCTCTCCAGCCCAGATCGGGGTCCGTCTCCTCACCCAGGCTTTGTTTCTCTCTTCTCTGCCTCCTGGACCCCCATCTGATGCCACCTCCCTCCGTAGGCCCGTTCTTCCGCTACCGCACCTACCTGGACTGGCTGGAGCAGCCGTTCCCCGAGGCCGTGCCCAGCCTGCGGCCCCTGCTCCGCCGGGCCTGGCCAGCGCCCCTCTTCGGCCTGCTCTTCCTGCTGTCTTCCCACCTCTTCCCACTGGAGGCCGTGCGTGAGGATGCCTTCTACGCCCGCCCACTGCCAGCCCGCCTCTTCTACATGATCCCCGTGTTCTTCGCCTTCCGCATGCGCTTCTACGTGGCCTGGATTGCAGCCGAGTGCGGCTGCATTGCCGCGGGCTTCGGGGCCTACCCCGTGGCCGCCAAAGCCCGGGCCGGGGGCGGCCCCACCCTCCAATGCCCACCCCCCAGCAGGTCAGGCGGCGGGAGGGAGGCTGCCCAAGACCCAGCCGGCCCTGTCGCCACGGGCTGGCCCTGCCCCTAGCCGGGAGGATGGCGGGAAACAGGTGCAGGGCCACCTCAGGGGTTGGCACCATCACCCCTGACCACCACGGCCTGCCTTCCCGTCTTTGGGAACACCCTTGATCCCCATGAATTGCCCCCGTGTTGCTAGCGCCTGTCCCTCCCGTCCCATGGGTGGCGAGCGACCGTGTTGCCACCATAAGATGGGGCCGTCTCAGTCACATGCAGCCCCTCTTGCCTTGCCGGTGTTGTCCTGTCCCTGTGGTTCCTGGTCGGTTGCTGAGGACAGGTAGCCTTTTGTTGCCAGGGAGCCTAGCAACCCTGTCCATCCCTTTCCTTCCTGGCCTTCTTTGTTGCTATGGAAATGGCCTCCCTCAGGCAGCGCCCACCCCTCAGATAGGGGAACCTCAGTGACAGCTTGCAGTTGCCCTCAGTTTCTATAGAAACAGCATCCCAGACTGCAGTCTGCCGCCAGGGTGGGGGGGAGGGCATCTCCTTCCATGCAAGCCCCACCCCCCAGCCATACATTGAACTTGTTATTAGCAACACCCTGTCCCCTGCCCTTCCCAGCTCCTTCCCTGTAGGTAAGACTTAGTAGCAACAGGGTCTTATTGCTAAGGAAGCCCTGCTCCTGTGCTGCTAGGGAATGGCATCCTTGACAACCAGGATGGGTTGCCACTCTGCCTCAGCCCATTGGTGTCGTGAATGTCACTTCTGGCCAGAAGACTGCCCCCCTTGGAGCCTTGAACTGCCATTGCGTGGCAGGGGAGGGCCCCCCTACCCCATAATTTCTGTGCCCCTTCCTGGTTGCTAGGGAGGACATCCCTGGAAAACGTGATGCAAGAAGAAAGTTCTTTCTTCTGGGCCCATGTGGCAATCCAGCGATGCCCACCTTTTGTTCTGGTGGGGCACAGCTGTGGGCCCCAGGGACCTAGAGCCACCAGATTACCACACGTGATACATCTTGAACAATCATTAGGACCAGTAGCCAGGAGGCGGCCCCCTGGGTCTCTCTCCTGAGCATCCAAGGCCTTGTTGCTAAGGAAAGTCATTCCCTAGCAACAAACCACTCAGGGTCCCCAGGCAGCTGGAACATGGGGGCCATTGTATCGCTAGGAAAGCTTCCATAGCAACTGCAGTGTGCCCCGGCTTAGAAGGGGCCTCACCCAGGGCTTCTCCAAACCCACCACACTAGGCCGCAGAGGAGCCCAGCGTGGAGACCCCTAGTCCAGGGCAACTCCCCACAGTTGGTGAGCTGCCTCTGGCCTGCAGTCCCCACCTTAGCACTGGGGCTGGGACAGTGGCCGGCATGGGGCGGGGGTCTGGCTGAGCTGCAGGCCTGTCCCCCACCCTCATCCTCCACCCCCTCCCAGTCCGGAGAAAGCGGCCTCCCTGGAGTACGACTATGAGACCATCCGCAACATCGATTGCTACGGCACAGACTTCTGTGTGCGGGTGCGGGACGGCATGCGCTACTGGAACATGACTGTGCAATGGTGGCTGGCCCAGTATATCTACAAGAGCTCGCCCTTCCGCTCCTACGTCCTCAGGTGAGCCCACACACCCTGGGCAGCCCTCGGCCCCCAAGCATCCTGAAGGTTGTTTCTAGGGCATATCAGCGCAGTGTGAAGGCAGACTGGTAGGCCGGCACCTGGGCCAGCCACTTCCGCAGAAAGCTTAGAAAAGAGGGAGCCCGGAGAGAGAGTACAGCGGAGAGGGTGCTTGCCAGGTTGATCCCCAGCACCCCATATGGCCCCACAAACACCACCAGGAGTAACCCCTGAGCATTACTGGGTGAGGCCCCAAAACAAGAGAAAAAACAAAGGGTTAATGCTTTTGCACTGGTGTCAGTGGAACCAGATGCGGTGTGAGGTGTGGGTAAGGTGAGGCCTGCCAGGTGCACCCACCTGGGCGTTGGCGGGCATGTGTGCAGGGGGATGAAATGGAGGCCTCTGTGCAGCCAGGCCAGGAAGGCTCCAGCTGGAGATCCAGGGAAACTGGGCTGTGCTGCTCTGCTGACGTTCCCTTCGTATCTATAGAGATTGGCACCTCCCTCCAAACTGCAGCACAGGGCCCCAGACCCGGGCTCTGTGATGAAGGGGGCCAGGGGGCTCTCCTGTCTGCCACAGGGAAGCATCCATGTTTTGGGGGACCCTGGAGCTCAGTTGTTGAGGGCAGGTTCTGTCCGTGTCACCTCTGTACATCAGGGAGTCCCGTGTGTTGGGGGTGTAAGTGGGGTGTCATGGGAAGGCCCCTAGACTACAGTCCAAGCAAAGTCTGGGTTCCTGGGTCTGAGGGAGGAGGTCTGGTCCCGGACTCACGGCCCCCCTTCCCAGGAGCGCCTGGACCATGCTGCTGAGCGCCTACTGGCACGGCCTGCACCCCGGCTACTACCTGAGCTTCCTGACCATTCCGCTGTGCCTGGCAGCCGAGGGCCGTGTGGAGTCGGCACTGCGGGGCCGCCTGGGGCCCAGAGGCCAGCAGGCCTGGGACTGGGTGCACTGGTTCCTGAAGATGCGCGCCTACGACTACATGTGCATGGGCTTCGTGCTGCTCTCGCTGGGCGACACGCTGCGCTACTGGGCCTCCATCTACTACTGTATCCACGTGCTGGCCGTGGTGGTGCTAGGGCTGGGCTTGGCGCTGGGCGGGGGCGGTCCCGGCCGGCGGAAGGCCTCGTCCCTCGCCACAGGCCCTGCCCCTGCCCCGGAGAAGCTCCGGGAGGAGTGAGCTGCCGCCCTGCCCCAGCTTCTGTGCCCGGGCCTTGAGGTCCCCTTTTCCCAGCTCAGCCCTTGCCCGGCGGTCCTGGGGCCTGGCCACCACCCAGAAGGTTCCTGAATAACATGGTTTTGCCTCCTGTCGCACTGGGACTACCTGTGAGAACATCACTGGTTCTCTTATGTAGTGTCCATGGAGCAGTGCTGCCTTCCCCCGCCCAGTAGCTGTGGGTCGGTTCCCTTCCCTAGGGTTCAGTGTGGGGGGAGGAGCTTCAGACCAGGGTTTGGGAGTGGGACCCCCTGGGGCGTGTCTTTCTCCACTTTTAACTCATCACGCCAGTATTTCAGACCCGGGAGGGAACCCACTTCAGGTTCATAAAGGGAGAACTGAGATACACAGAGACTTAGGCTTTGGGACCGCCCTTCCTGCAACTTCCATGTGGCCACTCTCCTGTCACTCTGACCAAAGACAGAGTCAGAATGTGTAAATCTCTCCCAATAAAGAGTTGCGCAGACAGCTGTGTGTGTGTGTGTGAATCTCTCCCAATAAAGTGTTGCACAGAGACAGCTCAGCTGTGTGTGTGTGTGTGTGTGTGTGTTTATGCGTGTAAATCTCTCCCAATAAAGTGTTGCACAGAGATAGCTCCGTGTGTATGTGTGCAGAGAGGAGCAAGGTGTGCTGAGGTGTACTGAGAGGTGTGAGGTGCAGCTGCCCCAGGCCTTCCTGTATGGGTGTGGCCTCCCTGGACTTGGTTCCCAGACCGAGGCCAACAGCCCAGGCTCCTCCCCCTGGGCGGCACCTCCCTTACCTGCTGCAGACACCCCACAGACAGCTGCGGGGCCTCAGGCAGGATGGAGTCCCCATGGGGAGCTTCTAGGAGCCAAATGGCACCCCAGAAGGCCAGAGCTGGTAGGAGCTGGGAGGGGAGCAGGGGAGGGCGATGCCACACCCCCAGCCTGGGCAGGAGGGGCATATTGGCCCTGGCATTACCCCCGGGAGTGGGTGGAGCATGCTTGCCAGGGGTGAGGGTGAAGGGATGAAGGGGGGCACCAGGAGGCCCAGTCTCCAGCCAAGGGTGGTGAGACTTGGTGGGGGGATTCAGGCCTTAGAGGAGTAGGAGGGGCGGAACTCCTGGAGGAGAGGAAGGAGGAAGTTGGCTCCTGCCTGCCTGCCACTGGGAGGGGCCCCCTTGAATGCTTGGTTGGGGCCTGGATCTGAAGGAGGAGGCTGGGGAGTTTGAACTGCTTCTGACGAGAAGGTTGGGGGCCTAGACCCCTGGTTCTGGGGGAGGAGCCTGGAAGTTTGAATCTTTGTGTCTGAGGTAGTAGGCTGGGAACTTGGATTCCTGAGTTTGAGGGAAGAGGCTGAGATCCTGGATGTCTGGGTCTGAGGGAGAGGGCTGGAACCTGGATGTCTGTGTCTGACGGAGGAGGAGATTGGGGCCCAAACGCCTAGGTCTGAGGGAGGAGGCTGGGGCCTGGACGCCTGAGTCTGAGGGAGGGCCCAGATGCCTATTCTCCCAGGCCCGTCGCTGATATCTGTGCTGAATGAGCTCCCCAGTTCTGCTACTCTGCGTTACCGGGGCCCTGGTATGCGGCCTTGGGGGGTCCTGGAGGAAGAGGCCCAGGAGGGACCTCCAGCCTGGGAGGAAGCTGCCCAGCAGGAGCTGCAAGCCCCACTGCCATCCCGGGAGCTGCCCTGGCCCATGCAGGCCCGGCGGATGCACAGGTGAGGCCCTGCGTCCTTACCGTGTGTCTTCCGGGTGTTCAGGGCTCCTCTCTGCCTCCCTGAGTGTCATCCCAGGTTCTAGCATTTCTCTGACCCTTCTCCTTTAGCAGCTGCCAGCATCTTTCCTGAACCATCATTTAGGCCAATGGTCCAACTCTGTCCTGGCAGGACCTGCTCCAGGGGGACAGCACCAGATGCTACCTGTTGCCTCTTCACGTGCCAGTCATCAGGCTGGGCTGTCTACCGCATCAGCCCCAGAACCCAGGGCTGAGACCGTTCTGGGGTGCAGTTACTGAAGCTTCAGTCCCACTCCCCAAGTTTCCATGGGGCCACCTACCCGAAGCTCCCTATGCCCCTGCTGTGTTCAGGGACCCTCATTAGTCAGGCCTGACTTACTGGCTTTGGCAGGGGAATGTTCCAGTCTTAGCCTCTCCCATGGATTATCTGGCTCCCCTCAGCTGCTGCCTAACGCCCTGATTAGCATATAGGCATGTCTGAGGTGCTCCCAGACTCGTAGCTCCCTGGATCAAATTCTACAAAAAAAAAAAAAGAATCTTAATGCAGGGCCAGAGCAATAGAACAGCTAGGGGGCATTTGCCTTGCATGCAGCCATTCAGGGTTTGATCCCAGCATCCTCCCCCCGCCCCCCAGCATCACCAGAAGTGCAGAGTCAGGAGTAATCCCTGAGCATCGCCTGAGCATGGCCAAAAAAGCCAAAAAAAAAATAAAAATAAAAAGAGGAAGAGGAAGAAGGAAAAAGAAGAAGAAACCTTGATGCAGGGCCAGAGAAATCATAGAGATATAGATGGGGGATGGCACTTCTTGCATATACCCACTCTGGCTCCATCCCCAGCATCCACACAGGGTCCCTCAGCACTGCCAGGAGTAATCACTGAGCACCACCAGGTGTCCTCTCCCCCCAAAAAAAGACATCTTGATGGGTCGCCTTTGTTTGTGCCTTTTTTATTTGGGTGGGGGCAACTGGGTTCAGCTCTGTGCCCCGGGATTGATCATGCGTGGCAGTGCCCAGGGGGTTGAACCCAGGCCTCTTCACCTGAGTTGAAGCACCGTCTCTATTTGTACTTTTTTCCTTTTTCACCATTGTATTGGGGTGCTGGGATTTATCCATTTCGACTGTATCATGACATTCACCCACAGAAAGGGGAGGTCCCCGGGTGTGAGTGCAGGCAGTCCTCTGCGGCACCAGGACCCCCACCTGCCCGTCACTCTCCCACCCCAGACTCCCCTGGTCATGCCCAGAGTCTGTGTCCTGTGACCTGGCCCATCCCAGCTATGTGGCTGCCAGTTGCCAATGCTGGATCATCTCCGGCTGCCTGGCCTGTGGCTGCCAGCCCCCTCATCTGCCCTCCCATCTTTTCTGCCCAGGCAGAAGCACGCCAGGGACCAAGCGTCTCAGGCCCCGGTGACTGGGGCAGCTTACTGGGCGCTGCGGCTCCGGAGGTCCAAGGAGAAGCTGCGGAAAGGCATGGATGCCCTGAAGCCCTGGGCATGGACGCTGAAGAAGATTGGAGGTACAGTGGAACTGGGGCTGGCATCTTGGGGCGACACCAGACCCCAGGTCTGACAGATAGGGCGCTGGGGGTCTGGATTCCTGGGTCTGAGGGAGGAGGCCTGGGGTGTGGCCCCACAGGCCTGAGGGAAGAGGCTGCGTCCAACCTGAGACCTTTCTCAAACGCTGGCTCCTCTAGGCCAGTATGGAGCAGGCACGGGGTCCTATTTCTCGCTGCTGCGCTTCCTGCTGTTCCTCAACGTGCTGGCTTCCGTGCTCAAGGTCTGCATGGTTCTGCTGCCCACCTGGCTGGAAGCACCTTCCCCAGGGCCCCCCGGGTCTGCCAACATGACCTGCGGTTTCTACGACCCCCTCCTGAGGGGCTTGGTCTCCTTTCCCACCCAGCTCTTCAATCTGCTCTCAGGAGAGGTGAGTGCCGGGGCTGGGGCCACCTGCGGACCCCCTCCCTGAGTGCCTGGACACCTTCTGCCCCTCTCCGTTTTCCCACAGGCCTTTCTGGAATGGTCTCCGCTCTTCTATGGCTTTTACCCACGGAACCCGCACCTGGGTGTCTCCTACCTGTGCTGCACCTTTGCTGTTGGCCTGGTCGCGCTGCTGCTCATCCTGCACCGGTCAGCCCCGGGGAGTCCCAGCCCTGATGCAGATCTCCCCAGGGGGCCAGGGGGGGACAGGGGGAGTAAGGCCACTCTCCTGGATGGAGAAGTGCTCCATAGAAAACATGGAGCGCTGATCCGCTCCCACAATAGCACCCACCTTTGTCCTTGCCCTGGGCAGCTGTGCCCAGCTACTAGGCCGTTCCCGCCACCTGGTGCCTGCAGGTGGGCTGGTGGGGACACAAAGACTGGCTGGGCTGCTGGGTCAGTGCGGGTCAGGGTGCTCAGCCGAGAAGGCCCCTGGGAAAGTGCTCTGAAAATAGCAGAGTTGCTGGGATGGGGAAGGGGTGGCAGAATGAAGGGAAACACAGGGACAGTGTGGGCCTATAATGGGGTGGGGGGCGGGGGCAGAGGGGAACAGGGCGGCGCTCTGTGAAGCCAACTTCTTGTCATCTGTTTTGGCCACCCTTGGTGGTGATCAGGGCTACTCCTGGCTCAGTATTGGTGGAGCAGTGATTGAATTCTGGGCAACTGCTGCAAAGCATTAACTCCAGCCTTTTGAGCCGACCCTCTGGCCCTCACTGCAAGCTGTAACCAGATCCACCCCCATCAGTCTAGGTTTTGAAAAGGTTCCTCAAGGCTGGAGCGATAGTAGAGTTGAATGAGTAGTTGCCTTACACACAGCCAACCTGGGTTTGGTCTCTGGCACCACAAAAGGTCTCCCAAGCTCTGCCAAGAATGATTCCTGAGTGTAGAGCCAGGAGTAAGCCCTGAGCATTGCTGGGTGAGGTCCCAAAACAAAACAAAACAAAACAAGGTTCCTCAATGACTCCATTGGAGGGCAGGAAGAAAATGAGCCAGAGGGAACTAGAACAAGGGCCAACTGTCCCACATCATTGCAATAAACCCGGCATTGGGCCAGAGAGATAAGACATCAGGTTGAGCCCCAAATATTGTCCCCTGCAGATCCAAGAGTAAGTAATCCCTGGGCACAGTGGGGATGGGCCCACATGCACCCTCCCAGCTGTATTATCGCTCAGGCCCCCATTTTTGTTTTGTTTTTGTTTGGGGGCCACACCTGACAGTGCTCAGAGCTTATTACTGACTGCACCCAGGGGACCATAGGGAACGCTAGGTATTGAATTGGGGTCTGCCCATGCAAGGCAAGTGCTGGGCTGCTGTAATGTCTCCTGGGCCCAACTTCTCTCGCACTTGACCTTCTGGACAACTGTGAGCCAGGTCTCATCACTCCTGACTCCTTTCGTCTGGATGTCTCCCTATCTCCCCTCTTTCAGCTCCGTGTCCGGACTGAAGCAGATGTTACTGGCTGAATCAGAAGTCCTGACCAGTTACAGCCACCGGGTCTTCTCGGCCTGGGACTTTGGCCTCTGTGGAGATGTCCATGTACAGCTGCGACAGCGCCATCTCTTCTATGAGCTGAAGGTGTGCCAAGGGGGCGGGGCCTATGGGATAGGCAGGGCCTAGACATGGATGGTGAAAGCTCGCTGAGGGGCCAGGGCCTACAGCCAGCTGGGGACTGGGCTGTGGCCTATTAAGGGGTAGGGCTTAAAGGGCCGAGGCTTAGGTGTGGTTAGGTAGGGGTGGGACCCCCCAGCGGCAGTTGAGTAGAGCTCACTTTCAAAAGGGGGCCTTTGGAATATTGAACAGGGTTTGGGGGAGAAGGGAGGAAGAGGCCCCGTAGATATGACTGAAGTCAGAGTACAGGAGAAGCTTACAGGGCAGCGGGCCCAAAAGTCCTCAATTCAAAGTTAAAAGATGCAACATGTCCTGAAAAGACTGAGAAATCAGAACCGGAATTCCCACCCGCCTTTGCTTTTGGGGGCTTCAAGGGTTGGGGCCATGGAGGGAAGGAGTCTGGAGGTCTAAAGTGTTCCCTCTGGACTGGAGAAACAGTACAGCAGGTAAGGCACTTGCCTTGCGTGCTGCAGGCCCGGGTTCTAACCTCGGCATCTGATAGGATCCCCTGAACCTGCCAGGAGTGACCCCTGAGAGCAGAGCCCTGGTTACTGCCAGTTGTAGCCCAAATTCCACCCTTGACACACACATAATTAAGGGCTCTCTGGACAGGCATGTGGCGTGTGGAATTGGGAGTCCAGAAGGGGCTGTACTGCTCGGGAGGGTGTCAAGGCAGGGTGTGGGACCCATGTGGACGTTTCTCTTGGTCTTAGGTAGAGCTGGAGGAAGCAGAGGTGCGGCGTCAGGCTGCAGTGCGGACCCTGGGTCAGCACATCAGGGTGTGGTTGGTGCGGGCACTGCTCAACCTGCTGGTGCTTGGACTGCTGGGCGCTGCCTTCTACGGAATCTACTGGGCCACAGGCTACACCGTGCAACTGCAGGTCTGTGGGCACTTGGCCTGGAGGCTCCAACATCTCTGACTCCCGGAATGTCAGGGTGGATGCGGTTACCTCTGGACTCCTGGACTTAAGAGTCTGAAAGGCATAGCCCCTGCAGGACCCCCAGAGCCTCTTCTCTTGCCCATTCTCTCCTTCCCCTGCCTCCAGGATACAACTGTTATCCAGCACAACCCACTACTAAAGCTTGGTGTGGACTACCTTCCATCCATCTTCATCTCCGGGGCCAACTTCCTGCTGCCTCCCATGTTCAAGCTCATAACCCAGTTTGAGGGCTATACCCAGAGCCGCCAGATCGCTTTTATCCTTCTCAGGTTTCAGGCTTTTGGGGTGGGCTGGTCTGTGGGACCCTGGTTTCATGATCTAGTGGAATCTTGATTCTGTCCCTGAGCCTTGGTTTCTCCATCTCTGAGATGGGGAGAAGTGCGAGCATGACCTGATACCCTTTAATTTCCCTGGCCAAGGACCATATTCCTCCGCCTGGCTTCCCTGGTGGTCCTGATCTTCTCCCTCTGGAATAAGATCACTTGTGAGGGCAATGCTGAGAATGAGGCCTGCAGAGAGTGTGGCTACAACTACAAAGAACTTCCGGTGAGATGGACTGGGTTGGGGTGGGGGTGGAGGGCAAGACTCCTGCGTCCTTGATGCAGAGAAGGAGCTGACTGGGGTCTGGGGAGCTGAAGATGCTAGAAGGCCTTTTCCTTGAGGGTCACCATCCATTGCCGGTTTGGACACTGGGCATGTTTCTTTTTTTGGGGGGGTCATACCCAGCGATGCTCAGGGTTTTTTCCTGGCTCTGCGCTCAGGAATCACTAATGGTGGTGCTTGGGGGACCTTATGGGATGCTGGGGATTGAACCCGGGTCTGCCGTGTGCAAGGCAAACACCCTACCCACTATCAGTCTGGCCCCGATACTGGGAATCTTGGACCAGAAGTCCAAGCCTCCGGATGTCTGGTTCCTTTGGTCTTTCTGACTTGTCACTTCCTTTCGCAGTGCTGGGAGACACGGATGGGACAGGAGATGTACAAACTTCTGCTCTTTGATCTGCTGACTGGCCTCGCTGTTATGCTGCTCGTTCAATTTCCTCGGAAGTGAGAGCTGGGTCTCACGGTGGCCGCTCCCCACGATGCTCCCACACCTATTGGAAGGCCCCGGTCACCCTCTTTCCCACGCCCCCATAATCCCACTCTCTAGTTGGCCCCGCCCCATCACGGCTGGCTGCCACCATCTATTGAGATATCTGGCTCCTTCCCGGTCCGTGATCCTTTGCCACGCCCCTCCGGCGGTGCAAGCAGGCCACGCCCCTCTCGGGCTCCACCCTCGCGGTTGCCCCGTCTCTGTAAAAGTAAACCTTCTCCTAAGCATCCCTCTCCCAGTTTGCGCCCCTTCCACTTTTTTAGCCCCGCCTCTGAGTCTGCAGACTCCACCCCGCACGGGTAGGCATTCGCTTCCCCGCCCGCGCCGGTAACTCCACGCCAAGTAAAGGACCTTTACTTGGTCCTTGGTACTTGGTTCTTAACACACGCACCCAATTGGGTCCTTGAAATCCCCGCCCCCCGGCAGGTGGGCTCACTTTCGACTGGGGGCTTGTCAGGGTGGAGGCGGGGAAAGCCAGATGGTGCACGCCTCTGACCCTCCTCGGCCCCACCCTATAGGCTGTTCTGTGTCCTCTGTCTGGGCTCCCTGGGTCCCAAGCTGGCATCTCAGGAATTCCAGGTCACCGACGAGGTTTTGGGGCTCATCTACTCACAGACGGTGGTTTGGGTGGGGAGTTTTTTCTGCCCGCTGCTCCCCCTGCTCAACTCGGCCAAGTTCCTTCTGCTTTTCTATTTGAAGAAGGTGAGGCATTGGGGAACACACTTGGGTCCTGCGGGCGGAGGGGTCCCTGGGCCTAACTGAAGGAGTAAGGAAGGCCTGGGACATAGGCCCCGTGTTTCATATCGCCTCCTTCCTCGACAGCTCACTCTATTCTCCATCTGCTCTCCGGCCTCTCGAACCTTTCGGGCCTCGATGGCAAATTTCTTTTTCCCCTTGGTTCTTCTCCTGGGTTTGGCCATCTCTGCCGTCCCTGTGCTGTACAGCATCTTCCTGTAAGTGTGTATGGAAGGGCCTGGCCCCTCCCCCAGGATGAGAAACCTTCAGTTACAATGATGCTTCTTGCCCTTGGCTGCAGGATTCCACCGTCGAAGCTGTGCGGTCCATTTCGGGGACAGCCGTCCATCTGGACCCAGATCCCAGACTCCATTCACAACCTCCCTCAGTCCACCCAGAATTTTCTCTTCTTCTTGGGCACCCAGGCCTTTGCTGTACCCCTTCTGCTGATCTCCAGGTGATGGGACTTAGACTTGTGGATATGGCTTTGAATATGTGGGATCTTGGGGGCTGTTGCATATACCTGAAAGCAGGGAGAGGGCTGACATCCTGGATTCCTGGGTCTGAAGGAAGAGGGGCTGGGCTGGATTTCTGGGTGGAAAGAAGAGGATCTAGGGGTACATACTCCTGAATCTGAGGGAAGAGTCGGCTGTAAGATGGGTCTTTATACATCTCACACTTTACACCACTGACACACCAAGAGTAGCACATCACATTTGATAGGGTTTAAAATAGAAGGCAATCAATCTTAGGGGAAAATATATTTATATTTATATATATAAGCACACAAGGCTCAACCTTTAGCAACATGTTGCTAAACTCTTATAGAAGGGCTTAATGGCTCCTGGGTGAAATACAACAGCCTTCACAGTTTTTGCTCTAAGATATTGTTATTGGATCATTTTTAGAGGATGATTCTTATCAAGAAATACAAAATAAATTATTTCGGTTCTGCTTTGGGTCCAGGGTTTGGGGCTTGAGATGGAAACATTCAAAATATGGTGGTGGTGGGAAGGTGTAATAGTGTTGGGATTGGTGTTTGAATTTTTTTTCTTTTTGGGTCACACCCAGCGACGCACAGGAGTTACTCCTGGTTCATGCACTCAGGAATTACTCCTGGCGGTGCTCGGGGGACCATATAGGGTGCTGGGAATCAAACCCGGGTCGGCTACATGCAAGGCAAATGCCCTACCCGCTGTGCTATTGCTCCAGCCCCTGGTGTTTGAATATTAAATGTTATCAAATATTGTGAACAACTTTATGAAAATAAAATTTTAAAAAAAGATGGATCTATATGAGTTGGAAGTAGTTGCAGAGCCCCAAACACTGCAGAGGGGCTAAAGGCATTCTGTTGTGACTCCCATTCCTGTGTCCTCTAGCATCTTGATGGCCTATACCGTGACCCTAGCTAACTCCTATGGACGTCTCGTCTCTGAACTCAAACAGCAGATAGAGAAGGTGAGCCATGAAGGGTGGTAGAGGTGGTGGTGGTAGGAAAGTGGGGTCGGTGGTGGTCTTGTGTATCTGAAGGACTTATTGCTTCTGGGGAACCTGGAAAAGAACTGTCAGGGACTACTTAGTCCTATACTAAGTTCCTTCCTGGTTGGGGAGTTTCTCTTAAACTTTCTGATAAACTTTTCTATTTTCTTAAAAAAAATGTGGGGGAGATCTGTGTAACCTCCACCTTTTTACCCTTTACCACAAGGAGTCTCAGAACAAAGTCTTCCTGGCACAGCGTGCTGTGGCGTTAAGTGCTGCCAAGGCTGCCCTCTGACCTCTTCAGCCTGGTGCAGGTCAAGTCCTCAGGCAACCGACGATCCTCTGGAAACCTCGGCTAGATCTTCGGGAACATGGAAGAACTGAAGAAGATCCTCATTCTTGCATATCTAGGTTTCGAAGATTTCCAGGGTCCTGAAGCTCGTTGTTCCGCTCCTACCTCTAACAAACCTAATAAACACTGCAAAGCTCCTGAGCAGGCTTTGAAACATGAGGCCTGATACTGGGGGCAGGGCTTCGGCAGAACCAAAGCCAATCAAATGTGCGCAGGACGCGTTCGTGCATGCTAGCCAATAGGCGGCCAGCTTCTGTAGCGTCGGGGGCGGGAGTCAAGTGATTGACTTAGAACCTTCAAGGGCGGTGGTCGCTAGGCGACTCCACGCCGAGGAGCCTCTCAGCCAATCATCCCGCGAGAATCTGAAGGAGGCGTGCCAAGTAGCTCTAGAGACCAATCCGTGTTCGCGGTCGGGGCAACAGGAAGGGGAGTTCTCTCACTGATCGGAAGTGCTCGGAGGTGGGGGTGGCCACTCCGTGGACTGCCACGGCGCCATGAACATCTTGCCCAAGAAGAGCTGGCACGTCCGAAACAAGGACAATGTTGCCCGCGTGCGGCGTGATGAGGCCCAGGCTCGGGAAGAGGAGAAGGAGCGTGAGCGGAGGGTTCTGCTCGCTGAACAGGAGGTAAACTGAGGCTGCCGAACGACACCGGGACGAGCGCGCAGGCGCCGTGGAGGGCCGGAAGTGGGGTCCTGCGCAAGTGCAGTGTGTCCCGTACGGAATTGGGTGCACGCTACTGGTGAAACCGGGTGGTTCACCCGCGCGGAACCCACGCAACCCTGCCTCTCGGCTTCCTCACGCCTGGTACGCAGTAGGAGCGTAATAAGTGTTGGTTGCACGAATAGCCTTAACAGTTCACGGGAACAAGCACTGGTGCTTCTCCTGCTTGAACGCCTCCTGAGTGCACGCGCTAGGGGGCGATATCACTCAGCACCGCCAAGGGAGCCAGAGGGGCGCTATGGGCCTGGCGAGAGACCGGGATGCGCCTTTCCTGTGTTCTGCGCTACTCCTCTGCCCGCAGCCCCAAAGACTTCACCCCGAGTTTTCAGTCTTTGAGGCTGGCCCCTTAGTAGCACTGTCCACCCGTTGTTCATCACTTTGCTCTAGCGGGCATCAGTACGTCTCCATTGTGAGACTTGTTACTGTTTTTGGCATATGGAATACATCACTGGTTGCTTGCCAGGCTTTGCTGTGCAGGCGAGATATTCTCGGTATCTGCCAGGCTGTAGGAGAAGGGCCGAGGAATTGAACCCAGGTCGGCCGCGTGCAAGGCAAATGCCCTACCAGCGGTGCTGTCGTTCCAGCCTTGACCTTTCAGATTGTATAAATCTTTCGGCCCCTTAGTATGACTCTTAGTATGCACTCGGCCAACCTGGGTTGGATTCCCAGCATCCCATATGGTCTCCTGAGCACCGTTAGGGTTAATTCCTGAGTGCAGAGTCAGGAGTAACCCCTGTGCATTGCCAGGTGTGACCTAAAAAGCAAAAAAAAAAAAAAAAGCACTTTTATCAGTAGAAATGGCAAATCAACTTAGAAATACCTGTCCTAAGGCCTGACTAGGCTGCCTTCATAGCTGGTTTTATCCAGTTAGCAAGACTGGGGGCCCCTCCAGTTTAATCGGAAAGGTAGCTTACAAACCGTGTCACCTTGTCCCCTGCTCTTGCCCCGGGGCAGGACAGGCACTCCTTTGGCCTCCCAGTACCCTCTGCCAATCCTCTGTTACCCCAGCCTGTGCCCTTAACTCTGGGCAAATGATATCATTGCTCGTTGTCTTTTTACTTTGCTCAGGCCCGCACGGAATTCCTCCGCAACAAAGCCAGGCGGCAGAAGCCAGAGCTGCAGGCAGCCAGGGCTGGAACACCAGATGCTGGGCCTGTTAACCTGTTTCGGGAGCTGCTAGAGGAAGGGAAAGGGGTGTCAAGAGGCAATAAGGAGTACGAGGAAGAAAAGCGCCAGGAGAAGGTGAGCCACCTTCACCCGTGGAGCCCAGAGGGAGGGCCCCCATCTGGGGGAAGGGGTGTCGAGAGGCAATGAAGAGTACAAGGAAGAAAAGCGCCAGGTGAGTCACCTTCACCCGTGGAGTCCAGAGGGAGAGCCCCCTGCTGTGGCCTACAGCCCCCACCTCCTGTGCCAAACCTGACCTGGGTTTTGGGTGTGTAGGAGTTTCTTCTAGTGTAAGTTGGGTCCTGCCATTCACTTGGTCAGGATGGCCCCTAAAGCCCCAGCTATCCCCCACCTCACTCCTCTCTTCCAGAGCTTTCCACATCTTACCCCCAGCCCCCATGTCACTGACCCCTAAAGCATCTCTCTCTGTGCTGCCCTTGATTGATCCCACACTTGGCTGAAGAGTCCTGGAGCTCATGGGAACCTTCTCTTTCATCTGGCCCCCTCAGGAGAGGCAAGAGAAAGCTTTGGGCATCCTGACCTACCTGGGCCAGAGTGCTGCCGAAGCCCAGACCCAGCCCCCGTGGTACCAGCTCCCCCCAGAGAGAGGGGGCCCCCCACCCGGCCCAAGTCCAGATGAGAAGATTAAGACCCGCCTGGACCCTCTGCGGGAGATGCAAAAGCACCTGGGGAAGAAGAGGCGGCACAGCAGTGATGGGCACGGGGGGCGCAGCAAAAAGGAAAAGGCAGAGCCTGAGAAGCCGCCAAGAAGGTGAGTAGACAGCAGCTTGGGGCTTGAGGGAGTCAGGTCTTTGCATATGTCATGCCACTCTCTCCTGTGTAGCATTGAGCGATGCCCAGGGGCGCTCCCTTTCTACTTCAGGGATGGTTTGGGAGCCTCACCTGATGGGGCACCAGGGACCTGTGAAACCTGGGTTGTTCCCTCTTGTCATTTTTGTCCCTTTCCTTTCAGTTTCTAATGTGCCATTAACAAAACCCAAAAGAAAATTTCAGGGGTGGGGTCCTGCTTTCAGCCCTTCCTTTGTAATGAAGGTTATGGCTCCAGGACCCTGTTCAGTGCATGTGGGGTGCTGCAGGGGTGAGACTTGAAGTTTTGCACTTGCTGGCAGGTGCTGTTGAGCTCTGCCTTTCCGGGACCCTTGTTTCAAGCCCACAGTAACAGCAGCGCTAGGGCTGGTGCACCCTGAGGGTACAGGCGGGAGGGCAGAGGGCCACAGAGGAGTGCCCCGCTCTCTGACCCGGCTCTCCTCTCCCCACCCCTTCCAGACCCCCATCCTTGGACCAGCTACGAGCTGAACGTATTCGACGGGAAGCAGCAGAGAGGGCCCGGGCAGAGGCCCTGCTGGCCCAGGTCCGAGGGGAGGCAGCCCCAGGGCCACCAGAAGAAGAAACGGATGAGCGGCGAAGGCGCTACAACTCCCAGTTCAACCCTCAGCTGGCCCGGCGCCCTCGCTGGCAGGAGCCCCCACCTGGTCACTGATGGACGGGGTGGGGGCGGGGGTGTTGCAGGAGAGGCTGTGGCTGCCTGCCGTCATATAAAACTATTTATTCATAAATATTTTCCAAAATGAAAATAGGTTTACCAAAAAATGTCCCTCACTGGGGAGGGGAGGAGGGCAGCCCTGTCACCTGGGCCCCCAGGGTGGGGCTGCGGCATTGACACCTCGGCCCCTCCCTGCTTTTGGGAGGAGGCTGCCCGACAGGGCTGGTCCAGGGCAGGCCCTCACCAGGGTGGGGGCAGCATGCGGGGAGGGGGGCCAGTGTCACTGGAGGTCCCGGTCCTCTAGGTAGCGGTATTCAAAGGTGAAGCCTTCTTTCTTCCGCTGGCCCCACTTCTCGTAGTCAAAGTAGATGTAGGTGCCCTGGCCAGGGAAGAAGGCAATCAGTGCAGGCCAGGACACGGGGTCACAGTTTATGTTCTAGGAGCGGGACGTGCAGAGGTGGCCCCCGCTGGGCACTTGCCATGGGTGCATGTGATGTGTGTCTGAGCATGTACAATTCTCAGGACTCTAGTGGCTGCGAGCCCAGCCTTGCACAGCAGGTCCAATCTATATCCCACCACTGGGCAGACAGATATCTTCCTGTGGAGTCAGCGCATCACACTGAGGGTGACCACAGCATGAAAGAGCAGAGCCCCATGGACCCAGCAGCTGCTCGGTGACTAAAGGGCCAAGAGTAGGACAAGCACTGAGGGCCACCTGACCACAAGTGGAAATGACCGAGCATGACCATTTAGGCAGTAGAGCCCACACTGACTGGCATCGACTCATTTAATCTGGGAACAGTGCTGCTGCCGGCCTGAGAAGTGAGTAGGGTATCCCCAGAAGCACGGGGGGCAACAGAGGAGTACTCACCTGCTCGAACTCATCCGTGATGGTCTTGGGCTCCTCATGCCTCTGGAACCACATCATGTACTTGGTGTGGAAGCGCCACGACTGCTTCTTCAGAGCCTTGGCCGCCAGGTACTGGGCCTTAGTGCCCTGCAGGAGAACGATGTGCAGGAGTCAGAGGGCCCCGGAGCCGGCAGGGGGACAGGGGCAGAGCAGGGCAGCTGGGCCCCACCCACTGCTGTCAGAGCAGCTCTGTCCAAGAGGAAGCACTAGCAGGGGCTGAGGGAGCAGCTCGGCGGGTGAAAGGGGTGACCCTGGCAGTCTCCAGGAATTGGGGGAGGGGGGCAAAAGGGCAACAGGAGGGGACCAGCCTGGGGCAGCACCTCCACTGCTGGGTGCTGCCTCCCTCCAAGTGGGGCAAGGTGGGTCCAGTCTGGGGTCCAGGATGGGGGTAATGGGAAGGGGTGTGGTCCCAGTGGGCTACAGTGGGACACCCACCTCACCCCTCCAGCCCGAGGGGGGACGGCGGCCGTGGCGGTGAAGCCGGGGGGCCTGAGGCTGCCCCGGGGGCCCTGGTGTACCTCCAGATAGTAGAAGATGAAGAAGAGCGTCTCTGTGGACAGTCGCTGGTAGAACTCCACGGTGTCTGAGTGTGGGGGTGGCGTCTGGTGGTGGTAGGGGGGCGTCGGACAGGGGTTCCGGGGTAGGTACTGCCTGTAGGGGGGCCAAGAGTCACAGCAGGCTTTCAGCAGGCACCCCTGCTCTGGTCGCCAGGTGTGTCTGGGGCTGTGCCCGCACTAGACCCCCAGAGCCCGGCCAGCGAGCATCTCACCGGATGCGCTCAGAGTCCGAGGGGTGTGGCATGTGGTGCCAGGCGGCCTCCTCCATGGCCTGCTGGTACAGCTGCTCCTTGGTGAGGGGCACGGGCCCCAGTGGACACACACCCAGGGACAGCGGGATATTCACCTCCGACAGCTGGAGGGGCGGCTGTGCAGAGGCGGGAGGCGCAGAGGTGCTGCTGAGGATGATGTCTGCATGGGAGCAGGGTTAGGTATGAGACCCACACAGGCCAGCCCAGCCGCGCAGCCCGCCATGCCCAGCGCTCACCTCGCTCAGTCAGGTGCAGCGTTGGCACGGGGTCCTCAATGCCAGAGCTGATGGCTGCGCGCTCTGCCATGGACTTTAGAGAACTCAGAGGCTCAGGGGCCTGTGAAGAAGGACCATGCCCAGTCTCAGGCTCCAGGCCCAGGTTTTTTGCTTGCTCCCATGCAAGGTTCTCCTAAACCATGCCATCCATTACTGCCAGAGAATGGGAAAAATGGCACCCACAAGCGGAGCCTGACCCCACACTGGGGTGTGAGGTGGTGAGAACCGAGATGGCCAGGCCACACCCCGCCACACTCTTGTCCTCTGAGCTCACGCATAGCAGGTCCTCACTGGGGGCATCCCAGCACCTCTCACTTGTCTTTGGGCCATACCTGGCAATGCTCAGGTTACTCCTGGCGGTGCCCAGGAGACCATACAGGGTGCTGGGGATCTAACATGAACCCTTGCTGCTGTCTTACTGCTCTGGTCCCTCTCCTCTACCTTTCTCTTCTGTCTCTCCTTTGCAGAGCCACACCTACCAGATGGACTCCTGAGAAGCTCAGTGCTTCAGGTCCTTTCCCAGAAAAAAAGTCCCTAGCCACTTCCTGCCCAGCATCTCTCTCGAGTTTGCTCCCTGGGCCACAAACAGTCCAAGAACTTTCCTGATGTCCCAGTGTTGAGCGGTGCATGACTGAGAAGGCAACACATACAGCCCCACAGCACTGGGGCCCCTACTGCCTCCCAGAACCAAGGCCCTCACTGCCGTGACCCCTGTGGCACTAGATCCGAGATGGTCAGCAGGCCTCCTGCCCTGCATCAAGCCAGTAAACCCGCCCTGAGCCTGCCACCCTCTCCACCACCTGCTGCCCAGGACAGGTGGACCAACTGCCTCTGGCTGTCTCCCAAAGATTGACCCGCCCTGCCTGGTGGGACTTGTTCCATGCACAGGCCTGGGGCCTACAGCAGCCATGCACAAGGTTCCCTGGAGTCAGAGGGTCCAGGCGCAGAGAAGGTGGGCAAAAAGCTGACATCAAAGGGACGGCATGGCGTGCTGTGGGGCTGGGGCGGGGCCCACCTTGATCTCCGGGGTGGAGCTGAACTGCGGGGGGCCGTTGAGCAGGGCACTGGGTGTCTTGGCCTCACTGAAGCTGGGTGTCGGGGAGCTGGGTGGGTTCACAGGAAGTGGCACCAGGAGGCTGGGGCCCCCCGTGTTGTTCCCTGAGCCTGGGGCAATGCCCCCAGCCCCTGATGGGGCTGCCGCACTGGGTTCCTTCCTAGAGAAGGGGAAAGGATGGGGAGCTCAGAGAGGGGGCTTAAGGGTTGTGTAGGTGGGCAAGCCTCGGGGGATGGAGTCAGGTGTGAAGAGGGGGCCCTGGGGTTAGCACTTGGTGGATGGTACAGGCCAGCCCTTCTATAGCCAGGGTGATGAAGGCTGGGGACCTGCACCCTCAGGGCGATCTAAAAAGCACGTCCCTGGCATAGTGGCCCTACCCAGGACTGGAAGGGCTGGGGCCAGGAAATGCTTTGGGAAAGTCCACCTGGGGCTGGGCCCAGGAAGGGACTAGCTTGGAGAGCAGCCCCAGTTAGAAGAGAAACAACTAAAACATTCCACCAGGCAGTGCTGGGTGCAGCCCAACCCAAGAGGAAGACATGTGGCCCCAGTCAGGGTCCCAACCCTCGCCGGGACAACACTCACGAGGTGCTAGGAGGGGGGTTGTGGGGGACAGAGGGGCCCAGAGCCTGGCTGCTGGCACTGCTGCCCCCACTGCTGTTGAGAGCAGCCTCTGCCGGGCTGTCCGCCACCACGGAGCTGTAGCCTGGGGGAGAGGAGGGGTGAGAGGCCAGCCAGCTCTGGGGAGCCCCCACCCCGCCAGTCTCCCCGCTTACTGGTGGCGCCGTTCTGCTTGCCAGTGCCCCCGCCTCCACTACCACCGCCACCGCCGCCGCCGCCGCTGCTGCCCCCTCCGGCCTGCACACTGGGGGGCCGGGGCTGGGCTGTGCTGGGTCCACTGGGGGCAGGCGGTGCCACAGCCTGGGCGTAGGGGGCAGGGGTGCTTGAGTTGTGGCTGGGAGCTGGACTGGCCTTAGGGCCCAGGGCACCCGGAGGCACTGCTGGGGTAGCTGCCCCGTTGTTGCCAGGGGCGGTGTTCAGAGCAGAGGCGGCAGGTGGGGGACCGGAAGGGTAGCTGGGGGGCACAGCCGGTGACTGAGGGTGCTGGCTGCTATGGACGGGCTTGGAGCCGTTCTTGGCTGGAGACTGTGGGAAAGAGAGGGCTATGAGGGCATGCTGGCCGTGGGACTGGCCCTCCCTTCCACATCACCCACATGCAGCCCCCAGGGCTCCCCATCCTACCCATGACATCCCAAAATAGCCAGTGCCATCAGGGAGTCTGAAAGTCCCATGATCGCACTGGCAGGACCATAATGGAAGCAGCCAGGTGTGGCTGCCCGCGTCACTTCTGACTGACCCATCTGAAGCCCACCCTGTGCTCCCCCACACCACACGACACCCTTCCCCAGAACTGCTTAACGTTCCCACACACCCACCTGGCTGACTTCACTGTCCGTTGAGCGTCCCCTCTTCTTGTCATCTTCAGAGTTCTCCTGGGGCACAGAGAGAGCCTGTGAGCGCCAAGGTGGAGGGGCCACCTGGACCATCTGGGGACCTGTCCACTGGCTTCTAGCCCACACTAGCCTGGCAACCTGGACCCAGACTAGCCTTTCCCAAAGTGAGCAGCACTGCTGCCTGCCTCTGGACACCGGGGCCCTCACCGTAGTGCAGTTGGCCGGGCTGGGTGGGATCGGGGAACTGGAGGTGGTTGAGGTGGGCGTGCTGCTCGACTGGTTGAAGATCTCATCCTCCATATGACTGTGGCTGGGTGGGGAGGTGGCGACCAGCGCCTGTGCTGTGGGGGCAGGGAGGACAGCTTAGGGGCCCGACCACCTCCCCACCGTGCCCAGCCCAGGGCCCTCAGGGCGCTCCCAGGCCTCACGAATGTCCTCGAGGTCCAGGTCGTCATAGAGGAACTCATTCTCCTCGAAGTCGGGGTCCTGTGATGAGTCAACGTAGTACTCAACGTCATCCTTGATCTTGCGGATGGCATCCACCAGGATGGAGTCATTGTCCAGCATGCGCAGGATGGTCTCAAGCATGCGCACGTGGTAGCGGTGCTTCTCGATGTGCCGCTTCAGGCCCTCGATCCGATCCTGCTTCTGCTGGCGAGCCCAGGCCAGGCTCAGGGGCTGCAGGCACCTGCCCGGCCCCCAATCCTGAGCTCTGCGGTCTCTGGAACCGAGTCAGGAAGCACACGCCAGCCCGCCCCGCCCTGTGCCGCCCCCTCGCAACAGAAGCCTGAAAGCCACTGTGATGGTGACTACCTTTGTCATCGCTATGCCATGTGCTGCCATGAAAGCCTGGATAGAGTGACTGGGTGCCCCACAACGCTCCCCCAACCTCTTTCAGATCTGGTTCCAGCTCTGAGCCCTCCCTCTCTGCAAGAACCATGTCCCCCTCAACTCCCCGGCACCCTCAGACCCACACCTGGCACATCTGTCACCGGCACCACCAGTCCCCATTTTCCCTGTGCCACCAAGGAAGCATGGCTGCCAGCTCTCCAATCATGTCTGTGGGACTTCTGCATTGCACCCTAGCACGCCATCCGGAATCGGCTCCTGCCTCTCCTAAGATCTCTGCACCCCAACTACTCCCTTTTCTCCTCCAGCTCAGGGGCCTGGATGCAGAGGTTCCATGTGCCCCGCCACCTGAGCAGAGCTCAGAGTATGTGGCTGTCCCCATGTACCGACACCCCAAAGGCACCTCGCCAGCCCAATCTCCTAAGCCCCTGGTCCTGGCTCCTGGCCCGAGGAGCTGGGCCGCCCCCACTCACATCCTTATCACCCTTCTTCTTGCGCGTTTGCACGGACAACGACTCCACTTCGCTCTCAAACTGGTCCACCTGCATGTTCAGGGTGTCGATGGTGTTCTGGAGGGGAGGCAACTGTCAGCAGAGCCCACGCCTGCTCCCCACCCCCCTCAATTCTGAATCCCCCTGCAGCGCACCGTGAGCCACTGGCCAACCTCCTCCTTCTCCTTCTGGGCAGGGTCCACCTTCTGGGCCAGGCCCAGGCCCTCCTTGCTATAAGCTTTGGTTTTGGTCTCTCGTTCCACAACTTTGAACCGTTCCATTTGCTGTGGAGAACATCAATGAGAAGGGGCAGCTGACGGGGACCCCAAGGCTCCCCCCACTGCCCCTCTGTGCACCTCCAGAGCCCGCCGCCTCTCCTACCGTCTCGATGAGCTTGCGGTTGTCTATGAGCTGCCTCTTGTCCTTGATCTCGTTGGATGCTACCCATGTCTTGATCTGGTCCCTCAGCCGCTACAGAGGGAAATCAAGGCCAACTCCTAGGACTGGGCCATGAGGCTCCAAACCCCATGCTCCCTCTACTCTCATCACACATGGGTGAGGCCCCCAGTTCCTCACTAGAAACTTTTGGGTTTTTTTTTTGGGGGGGGGGGCTTTTTGGGTCACACCCTACAGTGCTCAGGGTTACTCCTGGCTCTGCACTCAGCAATTACTCCTGGTGGCACTCAAGGGAACATCAGGGACTGAAACCGGGTCGGCCGCATGCAAGGCAAATGCCCAACCCAGTACTTAAAGCGCTGGCCCCTCACCTGAAGCTTCTTAATCTCCTTCTTTAGATCAGCCTCATACTTCTCTTTCTGGTTCGCATTGGCTGCATTGTGGAGCTGAGGGGACAGGGTCCAGGCTTCAGTGTGGGGCCAGCTGTGGACTTCCCCTTAGCCCATCTGGAAACTGCTGCTGTCAGGTCTCAGCACTGGGACCGTGTCCTCTTGCTGCCCACACCCAGAGAGCCCCCCCTTTCCATGTCCATGTCGGGGCCCAGTCTCCCTACCTTCTGCCAGATATCTTCAAACTGCTCCACACCCTCGGACACCTTCTTGAGGCAGCGATCTATCTCACCTGGCCAGGGAGGGAGCAGGCCGTCGGGGTTCCACCAGAGCCCTGGCAGGGCACGCGCGCGGGATGGGGGCGGCGGCAGAGCCCGGGCCAGCCCTACCTTGGAGTTTGCGCTTGTCCGCCATGTTCCTGCCTTACAGGCGCCCTCTCTTCATACTCTCTGGGGACGGCGGCTGCTGGAAGAGAGTGGGACAGGTTGATACATGTCACCAGTGGGAACACCCCCAAGTCCCCTCTCTCATATGGTCACTCTGGGACCACGGATGATGAAACCAGCAGAACAGTGGCGAAGGCAGTGGGGCTTTGTACATGCCTGGGCCAAGCTGAGGGAGACGCCCACAGCAGGGCACACCTTCTCCCCAGGACAGTCTGGGTGCCTGGGAGTTACCCACCCAGACCCACACTTCCCAGACAGGGCCCTGGCACACGCGTGACTCCTAACACAGAAGCCCGGCCCCATGCTGTGTCATGGGCACGAGGGTGCGATGTCCAGGATTGCTCTGGGGACATGCTGTGTCAGGGGACTAAGCAAGGGGGATAGTCGGGCCCATAAGGAGCTGAACGCACGCAGGCAGGCAGCGTCAGGCCCCAGATCAAACCCTGAGGAGCTACCAGCTCGTCTAAACGGAAGGGGTGGAGTCTGGCTCCATGCAGGTAGCCCTGAGTGAGGAGCAGCTATGAGGAGCAGCATCCCCCTAGAGCAAAGTCCCTGCAGCTGTGAGGGGCAGAGGTGGCTCCTGAAGGCCTGGCATCAAGACCAGAGCCTCCACCAAGGAACCAGAGCTTCAGGAGTCCAAAACGCGTGGGGAGGGGGCAGGGGGCAGAGAGCAAATGCAGCAGTGACCACTGCATGCAGGCCACAGGGTTCAGACCAGGGCACACTGGTGGGACCACAGCAAGAACCCCCCACACCTCAGCAGGGCCACACACTGCAGGGAAGGACCAAGCCGCTTCCAGGAGTGCCCACCGCAGAGGGGCCCTGGAGAGCAGCTGGGAGTCGTTGCAACTGGGGGATCCCAAGGAGAATCCCATAGCAAGAAAAGGGTGCTGGCACCTTCCAGCCTCTGCCAAAGACCAGGGAGAAAGGAAGTTGAGACCAGAAACTTGTAGAGACGAACCTGGCCCCCAGAGTGAACCACTGGGAGCCAGCAGGACCCCCGCGCCCCCAGAGAAGCAGAAAAGAGGGCATGAGCTCTCACAGCCTGTGTGTGCCTCAGAAAGGACAGAGCCCTGAAGAGCGGCCCAGTCACCAGAGCCAGGACCCTACAACAAAGAACCCCCAAACCCCTCCTGCAAAGGAGTCTGCACTGCCAGCACCAGCCTGACCTGGGGCACCTCATTCCCATCCTCTCCTGGAGACCCCACGGAGGGGGGTGGGGGGTGCGAGGCAGGCTAGTGGAGAAATCCCTCAGTTCCCGGACCACAGTGGGTAGGGGCCTCCCAGGCCCGAGGATCCTAGCTAAAACGCGGGATCTGGGGAAGTCCCCGCACCAGGACACACAGGCAAGGCCGGGACCACCCGCAGAAAGGCTGGAGCACAGCCACAATAAAAGCACAGCCCAGGTTCCTGGAGCCCCGACCTGCTGGGCGGGGGGCGCAAAAGCCTGGAGGGGGTGCCCCCGAGGGCGCGGGGGAAGGCTGCATCCTAACGTGGGCACTAGGGCGCGACGCCCGGGCTCGCTGCGGGGACGCGCTGCACAAGCTGTCAAAGGCCGACCCTGGAGGCCTTGGGGGGACCCGGACTGGGCGTGGGGGGCCGCGCGCTGCGGGAAGGGCGCCTCCTCCGCCGGCCGGAGCGGATGGCGCGCGCTCGGGGCCCGAGCTCCACGGCACGAGCTCCACACTCGGGAGAGGACTCGGGCCAGGGGGTCGCCCCCACCCCCTACACGGCGGGCGTCCCCGCAAGGCCGACCCCCTCGCGACGGCAGCGGCGCCCGGGCGCCTCGGCGGGGCCCGCGGGGTCCGGCCACCGAGGGGCGTGGAGGACGGGGCAGCCCGCGAGCTGCCGCGCCGCCCGGCTCGGTGGGCGGCCATGTCGCGACAGGCGACGGCGGTGGCGGGGGAGGGGGAAGGGGTCCGGCCCAGTCGAGCCCGACGCTCTCACCACAGGAGCTGGCGCCGCCGCGGAGGAGCGTATCGCGACAGGCGGGGGAGGCGAGCGCCCGCCGCCTTTTTCTCGCGCCCCGGGCCCGGGCGCTATCGCGATAGCGGCGCGGAGCGGAAATGGGGTGGGGGGAAGTGGGCCCGGGGTTGTTCTGACGACGGGGTCGGGGCTCAAGGGAGGCCGCGGCGTCTGCCGATGGCTCCGCGGAAGCTGACCGGGCCCGGTCCAAGATGGCGGCGGCGGAGGAAGCCTCCCCTCCTCTCTTCTCGTCTCTGGCGCTCGACCCGCCCCCGAGCCCCGCATATAGGCTTATCATTGGTCCTTGTGCGTGTCGCTTCTGTCCCTCGGACATGTCTTATTGGTTCTTGGTGAGGATGCGGCCGACCTCCTCCCGCCGATTGGGCCAAAGCGCCAAGGCGCGGCGTTCGATTGGCTTCCCGCTCAAGCCTCTAGGATTGGCTCAGGTTTCCGTGTCTGCTCCGCCTCCTCCTCTCGCCTCAGGGCACAACACGCCAGCGCGAGGACCTGGGTTTCAATCAAGAGGCCTGTGCCTTGCTGATTGGGTGTACCCGCCCCCCTCTTCTAAATCAACTGGCGGAAGGAGGAGCTAGGCTGATCAGGGGCGGGGAAGTAGTCCGTCAAGTTTGGAGTCTTTTTTAATTGGCCGGGGGGAGGGGGAAAGAAAAATGCCTTAAAGCCATTGGTTGATCCTAGAAGTGGGTGGGGAAAGCTGAGGACGGGCGTAGGGAGTGGGCGTTAAACGCCGCGTACCTAATGGCCGATTGACAGGTGCCTTCAAAGCGTGGGACGAGCTGCAGTCACCTGCCAATCAAAACAGCCACTGCGTTAACGGGGCGGAGCCAGACGAGAGCGTACCCAGCCCTACCCCGTGGGTTGGTCCTAAGTGTGATCATTCATTCCAGGTTGTCCAATAGCATAGCGAGTGGGCGGCACCCATTCCGTAAAGCGTGTGAAACGAAGCTGGGACCAGCAAGCGCGGATCCTCTCAAACCCTTTCAAACCCGGGCCGGCGGCTTCGGTTTGCGCAGCTGCAGCGTCTGCCTTTGAGCGCCTGTGCTTAGCATATCTCTGTTTTCCGTATTTGCCGGAGGAGGGAAGCGGGAGCCTTGCCCCAAGTCACTGCCGCTTCTTTACTGCCCCTTTGCTTGCAAAGCGTGTAACTGGTGGCCCGGGGGCGCTAATGCTCACCTCGGTGTCCTAGGACTTGGAGGAAGCTCCGTGGGCTTCTCTTGTGGGGAAATGGCCCCGGTAGCCGCGTGGCGTGTTCTTGGGAACCCTGTTTTATCTTTGCATGACCGCAGATATTCCGTAGTTCTTCAAGTCTCCTCTCCGGATTTTGTTCCCCCTAACACTTAGCACGGAGAACACAGGCATGACCCTGGCTCAGGTGCCCAGCGTCACCATCAGGGGCCGGCGCAATAGCACGCAGGTTAGGCGTTTGCACGCGGCTGATACTTGTTTGATCCCCAGCATTCCATATGGTCCCCCGAGCGCCACCAGGGGCATTACCTGAGTGCAGAGCCAGGAGTAACCCCTGAGCATTGCTGGGTGTGACCCAAAAAGCCAAAAAAAAAAAAAAAAAGGAAAACCCAGGCAAAGAAGAGCAATCCAAGTGAGAAGTGTGTGAGGCAGAGCTGCCTGTGGCCAGGGAGGGAGGATTCACAAATGCTCTGTGCAGTGCACAGCACATGCCCATGAACCCATGGAAACAGAGCCCACTGTGAGCACTGGAATCCGAGTCCTTGATCCACTGTGGCCCCAGACTTTTCTGGCAAATTCAGTGGACAAGAGTCCTACTGTTGTAGGCAGCAGGGGCTCAAGACAGGCACTGGCAAACTAGGCGTCACACCTGGCTTTGGACAAAACCTAAATACCATCAGACCAGTGAAAAAAAAGAACTTCTAGGATGGGTGGCTGACATCATTCAGCTTTAAAACTCGCTGGTCACTGATGTGAGGATTCTCAGAGCAGTTGTGTTATGGCCTTCAACTGAACAAGCAACATAAGCCGGAAACTTGTCAGAAAGGCATGTTCTTGAGTTCACCATGGAAAGTCGAATTATTCATCTCTGTTACCCACTGAACATTTCCCCGCAATTCTGAAACATATTCAACTGACACTCCATCTTTTCTTGGTGGGGGTCACAGCCAGTGATGTTCACAGCTTGTGATGTTCACAGCTTACTCCCATGCTCTGTGCTCAGGGCTAACTCTTGGCAGAGTTCAAGGGACCATACAAGTGCCAGGGATTGAACCCGGGTGTGCACCCTCTGAGAGCCTGTCTTACTTGTAGATAGGGCTCTGAGATCAGGACTCTTTCCTGAAACCCTCACACAAACCCCACGAGGTAACTCTGGCAAGGGGTGGGAGGCTGCTCCCCTGGGCAGGTGCAAGCAGGAATCATCAAAGGTCTCACTTTGGGACTGGAGCGATAGCACAGCAGAGTGGGTGCTTGCCTTGCATGCGGCAGACCTAGGTTCCATTCCCGCATCCATATGAGCCCTCGAACACTGCCAGGAGTGATTCCTGAGTGCAGAAGCAATTCCTGAGCATCACCAGGTGTGAGCACCCCCCCGCCCCCCCCAAAGAAAGGTCTCACTTTGGGGGTGGTGGGTTCAAATTCCAGGGTACTCAGGAGTGACCCCTGGTGGTGCTTGGGGACAGTTTGTGGTACTAGGGATTCAAACCATGGTTGGAGCCACAGCTATGTGCTAGTGCCTGATTTCCTGTACTATCTCATATACTACTTCCTGCATCTCCTGGACTACCTCTCCATACTGCCTCCTGTACCTCCTGCACCATCTCTGTACTATCCCCTGTACCTCTTGTACTATCTCTCTGTGTACTATCCCCTGTACCTCCTGCACCATCTCTCTGCACTATCTCCTGCAGGCCTCCATGGTCCATCAAAAGCCGTCACTTTTAGATGTTCAGAGGGGAGGAAGCGGTGCCTGACCACAATGCTGAGCCCAGTGCTGCTCCCAGAAGGGACGGGAGTCAGTGTGGGGACTGACTCCCGGGGGAATAGTGCAGGCAGTGTGGCACTGAGTCTGGACATGGGAGAGGGCACAGCAGCACACAGCCAGCCCGTTCTGAAGGTCTCTCGTGTGTGGGTTAGAACTTCTGTTCACACAGATGTCCCTGAGGCGACAGGCAGCAAAGAGCCCAGACCAGAGCTGAAGAAATGACAATTCCCCGGGGACAGGTCTCACTCTGCCTTTAATCGCACTTTCCCAGTTTCTCCTCTCCCAGCAGAACCGGAACACACTGGCAGGCTGGCCCCGTACAGCTGGGCGCCCCGGACGGCCGGGGCCAGCCCCACTCAGGTGGAGAGAATGCCACTCTTCTCGCCCTTGACCTTCAGGAACTCGGCCATGCTGGAGAAGTACTTCTGGTTGGTCTCTGCCACTTTCTTCTCAGCCGCCTGCGGGTTCACAATCTCCAGACCCTAGGCGGGGGAGGGGACAGGACCAGGGTGAGGTGGCTACCCCTGCATATGGGGGAATATGGGTCCAGAGGCCCCTCCCATCACCTCTCAGGCTCTCCAAATCTCCCCAACCTTGGAAATTTCTGGCCTAGGGGGCCCCAGTGTGGGTGGGAGGGCCCGGGCCAGTGTGAGAACCCCTGGCTCTAGGTGATGGTGTCACAGGGGAAGGGGTACCTGGAGCGGGGTGAAGGCCACACTGGAGGCAGTCCCCGAGGATCGGTCGCGGATGGTGGACTTGCCACCATACACCACACTCTGCTTCTGCAGGGTCCGCTGTGGGGGGTAGGGGCATGCTAAGATGGCACCCCAGCCTCCTGCTTGCACCCCCCTTCCCTGCTGAAGGCGCCAGAGCTACCTACCTGCAGCGTCTTGGAGATGCGGGCCTTTGTGGCCTCGTTCACCTGTGTCTGCCGCACGCGCCCGCTGCCCGACTTGCCCAGGTGGCCCAGGCTGAAGCCCAGGTCCTCCTGGTAGGCGTCCTCCTCGATCTGGGGGAGCCTGTGATCAGCCCCCATCCTCCATTTGGGAGAGCCCACGGTCAGCCACCTCCTTCATCTGGGGTCCTTGAATAAGCTCCCATCTATCTGAGGGTCCCTGAGGTTGGCACCTGACACCCCAAATCAACTCAGTTTTATGGCCAGTGGCCAGGGCAGAGGAGGCTGGAGGCCAGGGGAGCTGGATGTGTGCTGGGGGTAAGGGAATAAGACCAGGGATTAACTGGGGGCAGGGGGGCTCCCATTCCCAGAGCAGGGTGACTCTACCTCCCCAAAACTCATGCGGTTGGCCTGCTTTCGGATCTCCGTCAGCCCCAAGCGCTCCTTCATCTTCCGATACCTGGGAGGGATGGGGTCAGCAGGAAAGGGGGTCCACCCTACCCACCCCTCCCCCACCTACCCTCCACCACTTGCTGGCCTGCATGCACTCTGTCCCCCGGCCCCCACTCGTATATACCTCCACCCCCACCCGCACCCACTCTGCCTGCACTCCTGCCCCTGCCTACCTGCGGCCTCCTCGCTTCTTGCGCTGCCCATCAAGGGGCGCGGGCAGTGGCTTCACCTGCTTAGCGGGTGGTGGCTCCTGCCACTTGTCGAACTTGCGTTCTATCTCATCCTTCAGTTCGTAGCCCACCTGGGGGAGGGGGTCCGGGCAGTTGCCAATGGCACCGGCATGGGCCTGGCCTGGCATGACCCTCCCTGGCCCAGCTGTGCAGACACAGCAGCACCCACCTTGCCCTCAGTGCTCTCGTGAAAGCTGTCCACACGGGCGGCTAGTGTGCACTTGGCAGCCACCAGGCGGGCTGCCTTCCGCCGTAGGTCCTGCCAGGAGGGAAAAGCATGAGCAGTGAGCATCGGGGGGTTCCCACCCAGTCTCTCCAAACCCACCATTACCCGCTCCCCCAGGGCACCCAGACCTGCACCACCACCAGCATCGCCCAGCGTCACCAATGCACCCACTGCCCCTCACATTTGCAGTTCTAATCTTCCTGACTTGGAGGTCCTGGGCCCCATCAAGGGGTTCCTGAACTGACCTAGGGTGGGTCACTGCCAGGCAAGTGCCCCCCACAGTGCACATGATAGCCCACCTGGGGCCTTCCACACTGAATGCTGAGAGCCTCTCAAATGACAGAAACTGGCCCCCATCACAAAAGGCACCCACCACATCTGGAACCCCCACCCTAGGGCCCTGATCCATATCCCAGGGCCCCCACTAACCGGGGGCAGCGACTGCACAATGTCACTGTGGTAAATGTAGCCAGTGTGTGGGAGCACCGACGTGGATGAGAAGCCGGACAGAGTCTTCCGCTGTGCCCCGAGCAGCATGATGTTGCAGGCTGGCATTTTGGACAGGTTGGTGAGGCCGCCAGCCACCCCTGCCAGGAGGACACATGGGTGTCAGGGTGTAGGAGGCCCCACCCGAGGTGTGACCAACTCTGCAGTGGGGTGTGTGTGTGTGTCGGGGATCCAGCAAGCCTGTCTGCAAGGGGAGGAAGGTCAGCTGTGTGCCAGAAAGGGGCGGGTGTCTGTAGGGTGAGGGCTGGTGTCTGCAGGAGTGAGGGAGGGTGCCTGTGCAGATCAGGGAGGATGTCTACAACTGTCGGTGGGGATCAGGGTGGGTATGTGCAGGCATGAGGAACATGTCTCCCCAACAAACCCTCCACGAGCTCCCACAGGCCTGCCAGCCGCATGGGCGTGGAGTGACCTTGGGCACTGACTGCCAATCCGCCCCTGCCCCCAGCCCCTTACAGAAAGCCTGCAGAGGGGGTGAAGGGCCAGAGAGAAGTGGAGGTCACGGTCACAGAGTCCCTACAGGATGAAGGGTAAATGTGAAGCAAGAATCGAGGGAAAACCAAGGCTGCATATCCGAGAGGGGCCCCCACCCCAAGAGGCTGGAGGGCGGGAAACAGCCTTCCCAGGCCTTGGAGTCAGCAGATGGGGCACCTGTTCCTGGTGCATGTCACTCACAGGCAGGACGGCAGGGTGGAGCGGGGCCGTGCCCTGCTCGGCCTGCCGGTTCTCTGGGCCGGGGGTGGATGACACGCAGCTCAGACAGGTGCCCAAAGCTCCCAGGAGGGGGAGTCCAGCGCACGCCAGGCCAGCATTGCATGGGTTTGAGGGACGCTGAGGCAGAAAGTGCCTGCAGGGCCGGGGCAGGGTGGTCTGGGGAGCGCTGAGGCTGCCGCAGGGGTGCAGAGCAGGCAGGGAGCACAGTGCCTCTGGGCGAGGAAGGGGCACTTGGGGTGCAGGAGCCTCACCCATGATCTTGGCAGCCGTGGACGCACCGATGATGATGGAGAGGTTGGGCGCGATAAAGGACATGCGGGACTCCACATACTCATAGATGCGGTGCTTGGAGGCACTGAGCTCCAGCGCCATGTCACACGCTTCCTCCAGCCGCTCCAGCTCCTCAGCCGTCAGCTGCTGGCTGCGGGGCAGGCGGGCAGGCGTGTGCTGGGTGGGGTGGCCCTGCACCACCTGTGCTCACCTTCACCCTGGTCCCCAGGCCATCCCCACTTCCCACATCCCCAACAAGGAATGGCCCCCACCTTCAGACACATCGTACGACTAGCCATGCCAGGCCCAACCCTGCTCCCCATGGACAGTGGTGCCCGATAACCATAGGCCCAGAATGACGCACCCCTGGGTGGTGGAGGCCGTGACGCTGACCACCATGATGGTGGCATTAGTCAGGATCTGCTGGAGAGTCTCATTGTTCTTACACTTGTCCAGGCTGTTGCCCAGCTCCTGCAGGGAGGAGGCCAGAAAAGTGGCTCCCACTGCCAAACTACACACACACATGCTCACGTGCATACACGCATGTACACACGCACCACGGTGCCCACCTCAGGTACCACATTCTCCTTGTGGGCCCACCCCACCCCACTGCCACACTCTTTCTCTCCATCCCCTGTCCCCCTTCACAACGCCTCAGGCACCCCTTCCTGGCTTCTTCCCATGCCCCTGGCCAGGGAAGAAACCCTGAGACCTCTGTAGGCCACCTGTGCCAGCCTCAGGCTCATCACTCAGGGTCTCCTCGGCCCCCTACACCCCGACCTCAACAAACTCTGGCCCATGGGTTGGGTGCAGTAGTGTAGGGGGTAGGGGAAGGCTGCTCCCAGCACAGCACCAAGCACTGAGCCTGCAAGCACTGTGACCCCCGACCCAGAAGTGCCTCTCCCACTCCTCACCTTCACCGTGCGGATGTAATCCAGTGCATTGGGGACCAGTGACTCCAGCTCTGGGAAGCGCTTCGAGTACTTGTCCCGGATGAATTTGTGGATGATGTCTGAGGGGTCGGGAGGTGTCTCCTAAGTGGGGCTGGCCTACCCCAAGACCAGGGTTCCCTCCCCCTTCAGTGGCTTCCGGTGGAGCACAGACACCCCTCCACAGGCTCGCTCCCTGGGCAAGTTAGCTCTGTTGCCTGGCAGGGTGCAGATGTGACAGCTGCAGATGCGCAGTAACTTTTTTGTCTCATTTGGGGGGCCACACCCATGGTGTTTAGGGGTTACTCCTGGCTGGATGTTACTGCTGGTTGGATGCTGACCCCCAGAAGCTCCTAAGACTCGGCCCAGAGCCCAGTTACTGCAGGGGCTAAGAGAGGCCCGGGTCCTGCCCGCTGAAGCCTCCCACACTCACTCAACTCGTTCTCGATCTCCACTGTGAGGTTGTTGGCATCCACGATGACCCGGTACTCGGGGGCCGCCTCCACCGGCCCCATCACTGTGAGGAGAAGCCTGAGTGTGGGGGTGCATCTCCCCCCGAGGCCCCAGCTGGGAAGACCAGGGGAGCAGGGAAGAAGCTGCCATTCTGCCATGGCTCCAGTGGTCCCAGCAGGACAACCCCACAGCACAAAGGAACAGAGGGAGAGGCAAGACAGTTACCCCAAAACCGTTCCCCCAGAGCAAGCCAAGGGGCCTGGGATTGAGCCTGCTAGGAACAAAGGTGGACTGGAAGCGGAACCACAGGAGTGGGGGCGGGGCCAGAGGGGAGCACTTTCCAGAAGGAAGCACCAATAGTACCTTCTGAAGCTTTGGCTTGCTTGCTGATGTACTCTTCGATCTTCATCATGATCTCAGCAAACTGGGCGAGAGGGTGGGGGTCAGGACCCAGCACCCTCCTGGCTCCCGGGGGGCCCTCCTAGGCCTCTAGCCCCTCCCGCTCACCATCTTGCTGTCCCAGAGCTTGGCAATACTCTTGACTGAGTCCCCAGAAAGGTCGAGTTGCGTCTCCTCCTGCACATCCTCGATGGCCGGCTCCTCCTCCTCCTCCCCGTAGCTCCCTCCTTCTTCCTCCTCCGCTGCCTCCTCCAGGTCAGCCAGGAGCTCGTCTGCCAGAGACATCCTGCAAGCTGGGGCAAGAGAGCAGAGGGTGAAGCCCTGAACGGTGCCCCCCACCCAGTCCCTCTCTTTTTCTGGGGGGACTCTACAGATCCACAGCTTTCCTGGCTTTGTTCTGGCACGCCTGGCACTCAGCAGCAGGAGAATGAAATGAACGAAGCAACCCACGCCCAATCACCCAAAATGAGGCGGACTCCTGCTTCCCCCACACCAGCTCGCATCTGTGAGCAGGTACATCCTCTCTCCACATCACATTCCCCCCAGCCCAATCACTGGGTCCTAAAGGGGTGACAGGGCTGCTCCACTGCTGAGCTCCTGCTCTCACAGGTCCTCTGCCAAAAAGCATCCCAGGAAGCCGTGTTCGACAGGCATGAACGCCACCTGTGTGCCCCACTGCTTGCTTTCATCAACACAAGACATCTCTCTCCTCTCCCTACAACCCAAACCTCCAGGCTCAGAGACATGCTTTGCACACAGAGGGTCCTCTGAGGGGTGGCCCCCAAACCCAACCTCTCCAAAAAAGAATAGAAGCAGAACACTGCAAAGCCCGCAGGGTGATGCATGGTGAAGTGAGGGAGGGAGGGTTGGGGTCGACAACGGGCGGAATGAAACCACTTTTCTGAAGAAATCCAGAGGTTTTACACGGACTCTCCCCATTTGAAAGCTTTTAATTAAGTGGGTAACCTGAAGGGAAAAAAGGAGCCACTATAGCAAAAGACAGTGGAAGAGCTTCTGGGCCTGCTCTGGCCATGGGCTACAAGCTGGAGACCCCCTACATGTCCACCTGTCTTTATGCTGAGACTCTTATAGCCTCTCTCCCTGAGAGACAGTGTCTCCTTTACAGACATTTTTTTGTTTTTGGGGCACACACTGCTGTGCTCAGGGTGGCCCCTCGCTCTGTGCTCAGGAATTATCCCTGGTGTGGGTCAGGGGATCATACGGGGTGCCAGGCATCAAACCTGGGTCAGCCACATGCAATATTCCCATTTAACTCAATATCTAGCACCTAGTCCTTCTCAAGAAATATTTGGCAACTAAGCATTTTTTCCTCCTTCTCTCCCCAATCTTGGTCCTCCTTACAAAGAATTGTATTTAACTTTTACACCACATTAGAACCTCCTTTGTCAGGGCCAGGGAGATCATACAGCAGGTAGGACACTAGCGTTGCACACTGGCAACAGGGGTTCAATGCCTGGTGCCATAGAGGGTCTCTCAAGCCCTCCAGGAATAAACACTGAGCATCACCAGGTGTGGTCCCAAAATAAAAAAGAAACTCCTTCCCCCAGGACACTGAATATATTAAAATTTTGTTCCTTAAGCAGTGCACAATTTTTTTTAATTTTAGGCTTTTGGGAAGACACCCGGTGATGCTGAGGGGTTACTCCTGGTTCAACACTCAGGAATTATTTCTGACAGTGATTGGGGGACAATATGGGATGCCAGGGATTGCATCTGGGTCAGCCGGTGCAAGGCAAATGGCCCCCACAAATATTCCTTCCAGCTCCCACAAACACTCTTTCAGGCAGCTTAGATCTTGTCTGATTCCTTCCAGTGGATATTATATATCCACTGAGTCCTTTAACCTTGTATCAACAGTTACAAGTCTAAATCACTGAGGCTGGAGAGATAGTGTAGCAGGTTGGGCACTTGCTTTGCACTTGTTCCACCTGGGTTCAGTCCCTAGAACCCCATATTGTCCCTGAGCCAGGAGTAATTCCTGAATGCAGAGCCAGGAGTAACCCTTAGCATCACCGGGTGTGGCTCCAAAACAAAATACTAGCATTCTGTTTAATGCCTGTCTTTCCATTGAGGTAAATTTCTAGAGGAACAGAGAGCAGATTCTATTCATTGTAGTCAGGGATGCTGTTCAGCAGCAAACTGCAGGAGTTGCACTCCTGAGACCTGGGTTCAATCCCTGGCACTGTAGAAAACGCAGCGCCCCCCCCCAAAAAAAAAGACCTGTTTACTCACTGTTCAGACCTCGCCTGACCCCGCCTGATGCCAGCCAGCATCTCCAGCCACTATTCCCCTTGCCCACGGATGCCACTGTCGTTTCTGTAGCTTCCCAACTTTTCCCCCTCGTTTATGTTTATTTTTGTTTTGTCTGGGACACATCTGGCAGTGCTCAGAGCCGATCTCTGCACTCAAGAGATGACACCTGGCGAGGTTCGGTGACCGTATGCGGTGCCGAGAACTGTAACTGGTTAACGCATACAAGACAAGCTCCCTACGCGCTGCATCATCTCTCCGGGCATCCCTCAATTTCTACTGGCTTAACCCCTGCATAGTCCACCTCCTGACGCCCGCCCCCCGCCCCCAGAGGGGACCGGGTGATTGAAGACCACCCACCAGCCTTGTCATCAATTTATTCCGGGAATAAACCCGTCAGCCCCGGCACCGAGCAAAACCCCGGAGAGCCGGAAACAGAGTGTGGGGGTCGGAGATCTCGTCCACGACGAAGGCCCGATTTCCCTCTCACACGCAGTCCCCAAGTACGACGCCTGCTGCCCGCGCCGCCCGAGCCCCTATTACTCTCACCTCTCGGCTTCCCGCACCACGGTGCCTAGGAACCAAGCTTGCAGCCGCGCCGGCGCTCCGTGATGACGCCTCCGCCTCGCGCCGCCAGGAAGCCAGGAAGGCTGATCTGCGCTCTGATTGGCCCGCGCAGCCGGGCGCTTTTGGAACAACAACTTTATTAGAACCAGGCGCCCGGAGGAGGACGGGGGTTGAGCCAGCGAGGCCGGGCGCTCGGTCTCACAGCGGCCCGCGGAGAATTGCTAAGCGGAGAGTCGCCAGCATCCCGACAGGGTATCTGGACAGAAACAACGACGGGGCAACTCGGACGGACGGCGGAGGCACCAGCGGAGAACGCAAGGCCTTGAAGCCCGGAGTCCGGGGCGCGGGGAAGGGGAGGGGGGTGGAGGCGGAAACTGGACACTGCGAGCCCCGATGGGGCGCCGTCAGGCCCGATGGGACAGATAATTCGGCGCAGGACTTAACTTGAGGTTCGCGAGGTTGAAAGTTCCGTGGCTTGGGGAGCCTGGAGCGGGAGCGATGGAACTGGAGCAGAGAGAGGGGTAAGTGACTGGACAAAACTACCCGTTCCGGAAGGCATTGCGGCTGTGTAAAGCGCACCCTATAGCGCTTTTACTCCGGTGGCTGATGGGGATTGTAGTTCACGCGAGTGCTTTCGCGTGTTAAGTCTTTCGGGGACCTGGGATCTGTAAGTGAGCATCCTCGGAGAGAAGACGTGGGGCCTTTGGGAGTAGCTGAGGTCTTGGACACCTTTGGTCCTTCGGGAAGGAAGAGTCTGAAGAATCCTGGGTCTAGGATGTGGGGGCTGGAACTCGTGTGGACCATGGGAAGGAAGTTACTGGGGGCCCCGGCTCCTGAGACCCGGGTTACTAGAGCCGGGATTGTAGGAGCTCAGCACCCCCTGACCCCACAGGACCATGGCAGCCGTGGGCTTTGAGGAGTTCTCGGCGCCCCCGGGCTCGGAGTTGGCCTTACCGCCGCTGTTCGGCGGACACATTCTGGAAAGCGAGCTTGAGACCGAAGTGGAGTTTGTGTCCGGTGGTCTGGGCGGCTCTGGACTGCGGGAGCGAGACGAAGAGGAAGAGGCGGCTCGGGGCCGGCGGCGGCGCCAGCGGGAGCTGAATCGTAGGAAGTATCAGGTGCTGGGTCGTCGCTGCCGCGAGATCGAACAGGTCGGTGAGCCGATTGCCCCGTTTTCCGTCTCTAGCTTAATTTACTGCCCGTTGTAGTGCCGCGGTGCCTTCCCCGGCCCAGTCGGACAATTTCATTCGTTCCTGTATTTTGCAGGGATCAGGCTCATGCATCAGCCTCCTCTTGGAAGAGGATGGAACAGTGGGCAGTGACTGCTCGTGATGGCCAGGAGCCGTGGGACAGCTAGGGTTTTGTCTTTGTTTTCAAGGGTTAGGGGTACCGTTCAGAGGTGTCAGAGGGCAAGCCGGGTCCAGGGCTTGGGGCCTGAGCCCACAGGTGGTGCTGTGATGGGCAGCCTTTGCTGGTTCTGAGGACTGGAAGCTTGGAAGCCCCAAGGTTGGTTCCGAAGGAGACAGACAGAACCTGTTCCCCCTTTCTGAGGACCCCATCATAAACCACACAAACCAGCTGCTTCAATTCTGTGAAGCCTTCATGTCACAAAAGTTCTGAGGTCCTGGCACTCCTAGCTCCAGCACGCCACCATGGTGGTGCTCAGGAAATTGGGGGGGCGTGCTGGGATAGTGCCAGGAGGTAAGGATGCAGCTTGGGTCCGGGCAGGAGTGCAGAGGGACATGATGAGGAGCCTACAGGGAAGCCACGTTTGTGTGTTGGGCTGACAGTAGAGGAGAAATGAGCTCCCGACCCTGCGGGACAGGACTGGGAAGTGGGGTGCTAGGAAGGCAGCGTGAGAGTAGCCCTGAGTACCAGGTGCAGGGCAGAGGCACAGTGGGTGCGGGGAACAGGCCCTGTGTTCTGCCCACTATGAAGCCACACCATGGCCACCAGGCAGCTGTGACTATGGTTCATGCACACCCGGGTGCCACAGTCTGAGGCAGCAGACCAAGAGGGCACTGTCCAGGCTTCTGCTGCCCTCCCCGCTTTGTTTCCACCCACCAGCCTCTCCTCCAGCCCCTTTCTTTGGCATAGTCTACCCCTCCCCTGTGGCATAGTCACAGCCTCCTCCTGTGGGCTGTTCTGTGCACTGGTCTCAGCACTTCCCTAGGCCCCCTCACCTCCCGGGGGCCCTCACCTCCCAGCCCCCCTCACCTCCCAGGAGGCGCCTCACCTTCGGAGTCCCCTCACATCCCAGACATCATCTAGGACCTGCCCCCACAACCTCTGACTGCCCACTGTTGTGCCTCTACCCCCACATTGAGGAGTCCGGGGATGTATGGAAATAGGGGCGTAGCAGCACAGCTGTAGCTCTGGGATAAGGTTGAAGGGGCACCCAGGAGTGCCTCCCCCCATCTCCCATATACAGCAGGGTGAAGGGGCCCCTCTCGTCCCTCAGGTAAACGAGCGTGTCCTGAACCGGCTACACCAGGTGCAGAGGATAACACGGCGACTGCAGCAGGAGCGCAGGTATTTCTGGGTCCTGCTTCCACCCTCCACCTGTCTGTGCACTGGAGTGGGGAACACGGTGGAACTGGGGTGCAGAGGTGGGAGATGCCCTGAACACACCAAAGCAAAGACACCGGCCCGGGTTTGGACTCAACCAGTGCTCCGGTGTCTCGCCCCCCCCCCCACCGTAAGGCCTGAGTCAATGCATCCCAGGGCCACAGTGATGAGGGGCTTGGGCCCACCTGCTGCTACGCTGCGCCCGCCCGCAGCAGGCTTGTCTGATCTGCTGTCGCCACTAACGCCTGCTTTCCCCTTTGCGGACATGCCATCCTCATGGCTTTGCTGGTCACCCCAAACCCTCACTTCCCGCTGGAGGGGTCAGTCTTCACTGTCATGTGAAAGGTGCACATGAACCAGTGAAGGGGACCACGCACCCCTGCTGGCTGCTTGAGAGAACTGCAGGGAGAGTGGGAGCCCGCTGCTGCCCCAGCTGGACCAGCATAGGCACAGGCTGGCAAGTGAATACGGGGCTGAGGGCACAGACTGGGGTCACCACAAGTGGCATGGCCGCTTTTCTGCAGGTTCCTCATGAGGGTGCTGGACTCCTACGGCGATGACTACCGGGCCGGCCAATTTACCATTGTGCTGGAGGTGAGGACTCTGGGCTGAACTGGGCTGGGCTGGGCATGTCCGGGGCACAACCCCACGCGCCCTACTGTCACCCCTCCAGGACGAGGGCAGCCAGGGCACTGATGCCCCCACTCCTGGAAACGCAGAAAATGAGCCTCCGGAGAAAGATGGGCCCTCGCCGCCTGAGCCCAGCAGCCCGTCCCCAGGAGAAGGGACCAGTGGGCGGAAGAGGCGGCGGGCACCCCGAGATGGCCGGCGAGGGGGCGCCTCACTGACCCCGGAGCTGGCCCCGGTAGGGAGGGGGCACTGGGGAGCACTGCGTGGGGGCGGGGCGGGAGAGGGGTGGCAGGCATATAGTTTCGCTTTGTCTCCCCAGATTAAGGTGGAGGAAGACTTTGGCTTCGAGGCGGATGAGGCTCTGGATTCCAGCTGGGTTTCCCGGGGGCCAGACAAGCTGCTGCCCTACCCCACCCTCGCCAGCCCTCCCTTTGATTGACCCCAATAAACCCCCTCCCCACCCTTCACCTGGGCCCGTGCATGGCACCTGCCGCCGGTATCCACACTCAGACTCAGGACTATTGCACATTTTTATTGGGGTTCCTGGCACAGACGCCTTTTGTGTGTCATGGAGGCAAGGCGCTCACAGATTCTTCAGCCACTCCAGGCTCCGACCCTGGGGGTCCTGGGGATGGCTGGGCACATCTGGCATGTTCCCATTGTCTCGGACGGGCACTGCAGGACAGGGGAGGGGCAGCCATTGAGCCCAGCCAGTCGTGGGACCTCGAGACAAGGGGCTCGGGGAGAAGTGAGGGAGAGATAGGTTCTGCAATGAGATCCCAGTAGGTGCAACCCCAGGGGCCAAGCCAGATGGAGACACCCTGAGGGATCCAGCCCTCACTCACCTGGGTAGTTGTAGGGTGTCACCTGGTTGATCATGGCAGCGTACTTGGTGTAGGGGCTCAGGGGGGGCAGTATGACAGCTGTGGAGAGAAGGGGGTGAGCACACCAACTGGGGCAGAACAGGGGAAGCCCTGCACTGCCACGCATCAAGGAGGCAGATGGTCCCAGGGGAGCAGAGAATCCTTAGGACAGAGTTCCAGAGGCAGGGGAGGCAGGAGGGGGGTTGACAGAATGTTCCAGAGGAATCATGAACTATTAAACTGTGAGGAACAGTCTCTAGGTTGGGGTCTAGAATACTGGAGGGGGAAGGGAGCAAAAGAAGTTCTCTGCCAGCACTGATGGAATCACAAGAGCCAACTGTCATTTCATATGTGCTAAGAACCACACTGAACAGAGACGAAAATGGAGCCAGAGTTGGCCTGACACACTGCTGACTGACCTGGGTTTGATCCCTGGCATCACACAGGATTCCCTGAGCACCAGAAATGACCCCTGAGGACAGAGCCAGCCATAAAGCTTGAGCTGGGTGTGCCACCCCCGCCCCATAAAAAGACAAAATTAAAGCTTATCTTAAACATTTCACTAGAAAAAGCAAATTGAGATACTTCGGATATACATTAATGCCTGCAACTATTAGTGGACCATTGCTGACCCGAAGCCTGTCAGAGTGAACACGTGACGTCATTAACTCACACCCCTAACACCTGGCTCACTGAGCAGTGCCAGCACTGTTAGAAAATCTGATAGAAAATTGGGGGGCTGAAGGGAGAATTCAACGGGTTGACCTGATGCATTTGCATGCAGGAGTCCTGGGTTCTCCCTGGTACCATGGGATGTCACCACCCATGATCCAAAACCAAAGATACTAAATATTCAGGTAACAAATAATGGTTATACTTGCCTGCGGGTGTAAAAAGGCTGAACCCTGCCTTTTTGTGCATGTGTGTTCGGGCCACACCCAGCGGTGCTCAGGGGTTACTCCTGGCTCTACTCAGAAATTACTGCTAGTGGTGGCTCGAAGGACTATATGGGGTGCGGGGGATAGAACTGGGGTCTGCCGTGTAAAAGGCAAGCATCCTCCCCGCTCTGGCACCAGAAGCCCCTGCTTCAAATCCTACCCAGCCTGGGTCCAGGGTGCGGCTTCTCCACTTCATGCACCCACCCATGCCCTCCAATGCTCAGGGCTCTGTGCAGCCCGTGGCCACCAGATGGGGAAACTGGGTTCTCAAACCTTCCCTAGTGCGCAGCCCGAGCCCAGTGGAAGGGACCGCACGGAACCCCGGTTCCAGATGAGGCCCGTGATGGAACAAACCGCCGCAGGGCCCGGTGCGCGCCCGCCTCACCCCCACCCGTTCTCTGCGTCGGGGATCGGGATGCACGTCCCAGCCGGGCACTCACGCACCGAGGCCCGCGATGGCGAAGGACACGACCAGCACCGGCTCCTTGGCCCAGGCATCTTTGAGGAAGGCGGCGAGTCCTGCGGGGGCCGGACAGCAGGGTCACCCGCAGGGCACGCCCCGGTGACCTCTAGCCCTCCCCGCCACCATGCCTCGCTGCAGCCCGCGGTGATCTCTTTTGCCCCGCTCCAGTCCGACCCCCACCGCCCCGGTTGACCTACGTCACGCCCTGCCCCCCGCCAGCCCCGGGAACCCTGGAAGCCTCCGGCTCGCGGCGCCGCACTTACTCCCAGCCATCTTGGTCTCGGCGGCGGCGGTGGCGGCGGCGGTCGGTCGCGGAGCACTCTGGGAGTTGTAGTTCCCCAGCACAGCCGTCTTTTACGTGCCCTGCGCAAAACAGCTGCTTTAGATTGGGCGAACTCGCGGGGCATTCTGGGAGTTAGAGTCTACTGCGCATGCGTACTGGCGCCTAGCAGCCGTCTTAGACCGAGCGAACACGCGGAGTGTTCTAGGAGTTGTGGTCTCCACCGAGTCCGCGTGAGCCTGCTGCATCTAGGACGACGATCACGTGTTTAGTGCAGGCCAACTTTGGTGCAGATCACCACCACGGGGAACTGCCAAGGTGCCCGCCTACTGTCCCTCCAAGACTGTGGAGGATTCACCTGCAATCTTCATCAGGAGGATTGAAGGAGCCCCCAATTTACTGTGCATTCTTGGAGCCACAGTTGACAGATGAAGTTGCAAGTCTGGGACTCGGCGTTTGAGCTTGCACCACACCGGTTCATCCTGGAGCCTTAGCTCTGGCCCCAGAGTCAAGGATGGTCATCCAACTCACTGTCCCCTGTGATCGCCACCACTTTCTGTTTATTCGTGGGCTCGGGAGTCACATGGACCATGTGAGTGCACCGAAATCAATCTGGTTGGAGCATTTGCTCTGTCCCTTTGAGTCCTCCTCCTAACTTTCCCTCCCCTGTTTAAAGGGTCCTGATTGGAATCATCTTTCCCTCTAACTTGATGGTTTCCTGAACCTGCAGAATTGCACAGTGGGGACTGGCTGGTGACAGGTGCCAGTTTTCCGGAAGGTTTCGGTAGTTAACACAAGCAGCCCTACAGACTTCCCTTTCTCCCAGCATCCCCCTGCCCCACCGCTGACTCAGAGGCCCCCACAGTCTTGCTTCCTGAGTCAGGGATCTACTCTCTGCAGTTGCCTCATTTCCTGGAAGGGAGCAGCCACTCGAACCTTGCCTCCCGCTTGAGCTGAAGCCCCACTCAGCCCAGCATGGCCAACGAGCTGATCCTTCAGCTACTTACAGTCTGTGAGCCACCCAGCCCTTTCTTCTTGGGTCCTTGCTGAGCTGGGGTACAGAGAGATTGGCTCTGGGGACCTGAGTCCCCAGAGAGTTGGGACAAGGAACAGGATACGGAGTCTGCCTGAGGCCAGGCACAGGGAGCACAGGCCAGGACTTCAGCTGAGGGATGCAAGTCGTATATGCAAGAGGTAATGGAGCTCAAATTCTTTATTCCAAGAGAAGAGAGAGCAGAGTTCTCGAGATCTGGTGACAGTGGGGACATCAGGCAGTGCTCAGAGATTGCTCCTGGTGGAGACAGGTGAGCTCCGTCTCACCCCAGGTTTCCTTCCCTCCCCTTCCCTCCTCACCCCTTCGCTCACTCTCTCCCTCCCTTTTTTTTGGCCACACCCAGCGGTGCTCAACTCCTGGTGGTGTTTGGGGGACTATATGTAGAGCTGGGGATCGAACCCAGAGATTGTCTCTCCAGCCCTTATTCTCTTGATTTTGAGGCAAGCAGGGGCAGGAGTGCAGATTTCTAGATTCCAGTATGGGTCGAAGTGGGAGCCAGGTGAGACTCTGAGTTTCTGGGGGCTCAGACTCTGGGTCCTCAACCAGAAGAAAGCATGGGTCGAGGCGAGCGATGGTCTCTAGCCCTGAACTTGAGGGTGGAGGCAGAGCCGAGTTCACTACTGGCTTCTTTAAGAGGCAGGAACTGGGAGTCTGGATGGAGTTGGGGGGCAGGTAAGGGCCCTGGGGCAAGTTCCAATGAGGTGGGGACTGAGTCTAGCCCCCTCCCCCCTCCACAGGGTCACTGTGTCACGCGAACATCATTCCAACTGGTGAGTAATACCCTCTGTCCATTCTCCGCAGACCTGTGACACCTCTTTTCCAACCACTCCGTCTCACCTCAGGTTTCCTTCCCTCCCCTCCCCTCCTCACCCCTTCGCTCACTCACTCCCTCCCTTTTTTTTGGTCACACCCAGCGGTGCTCAAGGGTTCACTCAGTGATCACTCCTGGCAATGCTGGGGGGACCATATGGGATACTGGGGATCGAACCCAGATCAACCCAGGCATTACAAACGTCCTCCTTGCTGTGCTGTCTCTCCAAGCACCAGCAGTAAGACTTACTCCGAGTTGATCCCTGATCACATATGGTCCCCTGGCACAGAGCCAGAAGTAAGCCCTGCTAGCTATGATCCCCCAAACAAAGCTCAGGAGTGAGTTGTCGCACCTCTGACTTGCAGCCTGTTCTGATGAGTCTTGATTGGGATCCAGCACACCCTCCTCCCATTTTATAAAGAGCCAATTACCCCGGGTAATCTGACTCCCACCCCAGTTCCCCTTCTATCATCTTGGGCTCCAGGCAGCCAGAGAGCCTACGCTATCCCTTTCATTCAGTCCCCCCAGATTTACTTCCCAAGCCATGGCTGGGCATCCAGCCAGCCACCATTGTGAGCCCAGGGACCAACGTAACCTTGAGCTGCCAGGCACCGCAGCCCGCCTGGACGTTTGCACTCTTCAGAGCCGGAGAGGCGACTCTGCTCCAGAATGCGTCTGAGGAGTTCTTCCTGGAGGAGGTGACCCCAGCCCAGGGGGGCGGCTACCACTGCCGCTACCAGGCTCCGGGCTGGGGGCTGGGCGTGTGGTCCCCACCCAGCAATGCCCTGGAGCTGCTGGTGCTCGGTGAGCCTGGTGGGGCCCTGGTCAGGGGGGACACGGGATGCTCTGGGGGGGCGTGGATGGCCAGAGAGATCCCGGGGTGGAATCAGAGGGCTGGGGTGATTCTCCACTGCCATACCCATGGGATGCCCCACCTCACAGTGTGTGGGACACCTGTGGTCATCCCGATTGGGGGAGAGGGTGCCACTGGCAGCACAACGCAGGACCCGAGCTGCTGGGGCAGAGTCTCTTCAGTGGTGGACAGGGGGCCTGCGAGCAAGAGGGGTGCCAGGGTTTGGTGGAGCAGGACACCCTGCAAGGGAGGGGAGGGGCGGTTGGTGGGGGCTGGAATATCCCTATTGCAGGGAGGGTCGGGCCTAGAGTCACCCTGTGTGCCCCCTCACAGACCAGCTGCCCAGGCCATCGCTGGTGGCGCTGCCTGGGCCGGTGGTGGCACCCGGAGCCAACGTGAGCCTGCGCTGTGCCGGTAGCCTGGGTGGCATGAGCTTCGCGCTGTACCGCGTGGGCCTGCCCACCCCTCTCAGCTACAGCCACTCTGAGCAGCACTGGGCCGACTTCCCACTGCCCAGCACCCACGCCCCTGGCACCTACGTCTGTTACTACCACACGCCCTCTGCCCCCTATGTACTGTCTCAGCGCAGCCATCCCCTGGTCATCAGGCCCGATGGTGAGTCCAGGCTCCCCCTCCCTCACACGCCATCCTCCTCCCTCAGACCCCGGGTCCAGCCCCCAGCCTCCTCCCTCAGACCCAAGGTTCAGCCCCAGCCTTCTGCCTCAGACACAGGGGTCCAGGCCCCGGCCTCCTCCCTCAGACCAAGGGGTCCAGCCCCCAGCCTCCTCCCCCAGACTCAGGGATCCAGCCCCCCAGTCTCCTTCCTCAGACTCAGAGTCCAGCCCCCAGCCTCCTCCCTCAGACCCAGGGTCCAGCCCCCAACCTGTCTCTCAGATCCAGGAATCCAACCCCCTATCCTCCTCCCTCAGACCAAGGAGCACAGACTGCCTCTCAGTCTCCTAGGTCAGTCTTGGTGATCTATGCCTCCTCCCTCAGACCCAAGGTGCATATCCCATCCACTCCCCCAACTTTGAGGAAGAACGTGGGATCCGCAGCCCCCACACAGCGCCCCCCTGCGGGCGGGTCCTCAGTCTGAGGCTGACCGCTGACCGCCTCTCTTCCCCGCTGCCCTCCAGGCTCCCGGAACTACACGCAGGGGAACGCGGCCCGCTTGGGAATGGCCGGCTTGGTCCTTCTCAGCCTGGGCACGCTGGGCATGTGGGAGTGGCGAGGCCGGAGCCGTCCCCCTCGGCCTCGGTCTGAGCCCCGGGCTGGGAGCCCCTCTGGACTGGACGTGGACACCACGGTGTGAGCGCGCTTGCTGTGGATGGGGTGGACGAGCCAGCGTGGGCAGCCCCTGGGGCCACACAGGCCTGGCCGGAGGCCGCAGCCCTGCGTGTCCAGCGCCGAGAGGACAGCCGGACAGCTGCTTGGAGGGGCCAGTTCCGGCAGGACCCTGAAGGTGTCTGCGTGCACGTGGCGCTGGCACCTGCACTGTGCGGCTCGCACCCTCCGGCTTTCCAGGGTTCGGCGCGCCCACAACGTCAGGACCCACTGGAGCTGGGCTGTGTAATAAATGTGCCCTGGTTTCTTCTTGGCTTGTGGTCTTGCAGAAACCCCCCAAAGGAACATTTCCTCCCTGGCGCGTGCCCTGACTCACCTCCTAAATTGTGGTTCATTCCTTCCTCCACCCTATGAGTCTCGGTCACCAAAGTGACCTCTTCCAAGTTCCTTCCCTAAAGGTGGGCTAGGGGCCAGAGCGATAGCACAGGGGGTTGGGCGTTTGCCTTGCATGCAGCCAACCCAAGTGCAATCCCCGGCATCCCAAATGGTCCCCCAAGCGCTGCCAAGAGTTAGTTATTCCTGCGTGTAGAGCCAGGAGTCACCCCATGAGCATCGCTGGAATGTGACCCAAAAAGAAAAAAAAAAACTTTGAAAGGTGGGCTGAGGACATCTCCCCCCACCACTATGCCGGTCCAGAGAGTCCCGCCATGCCAGCTCAAAGCCAGGCTCGCTCCCTGCAAGGCAGGTGATGTGGCCCTATTTTTGTGCTGTTTCGTTTTGGTTTTAATTTTATTTTTATTTGACTGATTGATTTTGGTTGGGGAGCCACATCTTGCAGTGCTCAGGAGTGGGGGAGCAGGGGCAGATGGGACCATGAGGTGCTGGTCCAATTGTCTCCCTGCAGGGCCCAGGCTCTTGGGCCTATCACCTGGCCCCCAACAATGCTCGATGCTCACAGTGTGGAAAAATAAGGGGGTGAGGAAGAGGCAGAAAAGCTTAAGTGCTGGGGGCAGGTCTGAGTTTCATCTCTGCACCCACCCACCCCTATGCCCATAGCACTGAATCAGGAGGAGACTCGGCACCGTTGGGTCTTGCTCCCAAGCTCAGAGCGGTGAATCGGATACAGAGAGGGACCACCCGAAGGGCCTCCTTGTCAGGCTTCTCTTCCCCAGGAAGACCTGGCCGCTTGCGTTTCTCCTTCCTTTGGAGGGAGTCAGGAAGTTCGGCTCCACGCTGAGGTTTGCTCAGGGATCCTGGCTCTACACAAGTCAAAAGCTTTAATTACCTGAATTATCTCTCCAGCCCGAACGCCACCACTTTTAGATGAGGAAGCCAGGGGCTGATGATAAGACAGCAGGGAGGGTGCTTGCCTTGTCCATCGCAGACCCAGGTGCCATTCCCAGCACCACATAGGGTCCCCTGAACCCTGCCAGGAGTAATCCCTGAGCACAGAACCAGGAGTCAGTCCTGAGCACTGCCAGCATAGAGCCAAGAAGTAATTCTGCCTCAACGTCGTGGGCAGGGCTACAACCCGGGAACCTGTCACCACTGGTGGTTTCTGCCTTCCTGCCTGTGGTGAACCAGAAGCTGCACAGAGAGCACCAGAGCTGGGGTTGCCTTCAACGGCACTGCCGACAAAGGCGTCCCGTGGGCTCCCAGTACCTCCTTCCTGGGACTGAAAGTTCCAGGTGGTGCTTTTTGGTGAGACCAGATGGGTGCCATGCTCCCTGCACTCCTGTTCCTGCTTTTCCTCCTGGGTGAGTGTCCCGGACAAGGCTGCCAGGGCAGGGGTCAGCCGGGGACCCAGCAGGCACAGAAGTAATGGTTTCTAGATGTTGGAAGTTTGGGGGCCGTCTTTCATCTCATGGCGTGTCCTTGTAAGTCTTTTGGATTATATTTTGCATTTGGCATCACACACGGTGGTACTTGGAGTTGATCCCTGCTTGGTGCTCGGGGTTCTCTGCCATGATGCGGGGTGCCTTAGCACTCCGTTTGCAGATCTCACTGCTGCTCTCTGCTCAGGAGTCACAACTGGCAGGGTTCAGGCCACCCTCCAGGGTGCTGGATCAAACCCAGCTCAGCCAAATGCAAGGCAGGACACATCCTCTGGAGACCCAGACACAGCGACCAGGAGCTGCCTCAAGGGTGCAGGGCACTGTGGCCACTGTGTCTGTGGGGGACCCTGAACTGTCTGGGATCGGGGGATAGAGGAGCTGAGGCTTGACCCAGCTGCTACACGGGCACAAAACTCTTCATTCATGGTGTGTGTTTCTGTTTGTGTGTTTCTGTATGTGTGTTTGTATTTGTGTGTGTATGTCTGTGTTTGTGTCTGTGTTCCTGTGTGTCTGTGTGTGTGTCTAGATGTGTCTGTGTGTGTCTGTGTGTATGTTTGTATGTGCCTGTGTTTGTGTATGTCTGTGGGTGTGTGTCTGTATGTGTCTGTGTGTTTGTGTGCGTCTGTGTGTACCTATGTATCTGTGGGTATGTGCCTCTGTTCGTGTGTGTGTCTGTGTGTGTTTGTGTGTGTGTCTGTGTGTGTCTGTGTGTTTGTGTGTCTGTGTGTTTGTGTGTCTGTGTGTTTGTGTGTGTCTGTATGGGTGGGTGTGCCTGTGGGGGGGTGTATCTGCCCCAGTTCCTTCCCCCTTTGGGACCCAGCCCTGCCCTTTGGGGTCAAGAGGCTTCTTTCTCACACATTCTGGGACTTTGGAGGTGTCAATCCCCAGCCTCCGCCACTGGGCAGTGAGCACAGCCTCTCAGGATCAGGCATCCAGCCTGCCTGGAAACTTCTGTGGCTGGTCCTAGAGCCAGCATGAGTAATTCCAGGTGGGCATCCCGGCTGGCCGCAGCCTCTCCCACCCCTTCTTATCTCCTCTGGGCTCCGATCCATCCCAGCAGTGCTTGGACTGACTCTTGGCTCTGTGCTCACTCCTTCGGGCTTGGGGACCATATGTGGTGCCAGGGATGCGCCCTCCTCTGTCCATCTATCCAGGCCCCTTTTTGCTTCTCTCTTTTTTTTTTTTTTTTGGTCACACCCAGAGATGTACAGGGGTTATTCCTGGCTCTGCACTCAGGAATTACTCCTGGTGGTGCTTGGGGGACCGTATGGGATGCTGGGAATCGAACCCGGGTCGGCTGGGTCGGCTGCGTGGAAGGCAAACGCCCTACCTACTGTGCTATCTCTCCAGTTTTTCTTTACGGAAGTTACACAAGGAGCTCTGGATCCTCCTGCCACTCCAGAGCCTGTTCCTACCTCCCCTGGTGGGCACCACTGTCTGATCCTGTGACCCAAGAGTCTGATTTTGTTTCATTTTGTTCATTTGGTTTCTTGGGGAGGGGGCGGTGGGGCAGGTTTCTCAAGTGGTGCGGGAGAGATAGTACAGTGGGGAGAGCACTTGCCTGGCATGTAACCAACCTGGGTTCAATCCCCAGCATCCCATAGGGCTTGTCCCCTGAGCGCTGGCAGGAGTCAGCCCTGAGCACTGTCAGGTGTGGCCCCAAAACCAAACCAAACTGAACAAGAATCAGAAGCAGGTTTGTGCATTGGTGGTGGCAGGCAAGGCCAGCACCGTCCCTCCCGTGCTGTCCCTCTGTCCCTGCCCTCCACGCTGCACACACTGGTTTAGTGCCAGGAACCAGGCCCTGGAGCTGCAGGCGCCTGCAGGCGCCTACGTGGTGGCACATGTGGGGTGTTGGGGCCTTCCACTCCTGACCACATTCTTGCAAAACAGGGGCCCCATGGAGGCAGTGACAAGTCAGTTGCACTTTCCCTGCCTATTTCCCAAACACGACCCAACACTTGTCACTTCTTTTTCAGGGCTTTGTCTGGGCAATGCAGAGGTGGAAAGAGATGGTGAGTTTCCTTTTCTGTGTCCGCTGCCCTGCTCAGAGCCCCACACACCTACTTTTAGTCTCGACTCAAGCCGACCATGGAGTCACAAAGGGACCAACCACCTCTATTGGGGGTGGTGGCCCTTGGGCTCACTGCTGGCTCTGCGCCCAGGGATCACTCTCCACGTGCAAGGTCAGCACCCTCTCCAGCCTCTCACTCTGGCTCTTTCTAGATGTGCTCCCCGCGCCCGTCCTCAGGGTCTGGCCTGGCCCAGTGGTGGGGCCGCATGGGGATGTGACCTTTGTGTGCTGGTCTGCTGTCCCAAATGTGACCTTCATGCTGGGGAAGCTGCAGGATGCCGGGTACAGGCCGGAGCAGAGAGTGGTGGGCCAAGAGGCCCAATTCCTCTTGCGCCAGCCAGGGCCCGCGGCCTCCGGGACCTACTTCTGTGCCTACAGGAAAGCGGCCTTGGGCAGGTGGTCGGAGACGAGCCCACATGTGCAACTGCAGGTGACAGGTACAGGGGGCCACCCGAACCCAGGAGCCTGGCTGGTCATCAGGGGCCCCAGCTGTGAGGAAGGGGGCAGGGAAACAGACAGAACCCATAGCCTCTCAGGTGGGGGGATAAGCCCCTGGCTGGGGTTCAGAGCTGGGACGATGAGGACCTGGGCAGTTTTTTTTTTTAATTTTATTTATTTTGCTTTTTGGGTCACACCTGGCGATGCTCAGGAGTTACTCCTGGCTCTGCATGCAGGAATTACTCTTAGCGGTGCTCGGGGGACCCTATGGGATGCTAGAAATCAAACCCGGGTCAGCTGCATGCAAGACAAATGCCCTACCTGCTGTGCTATCACTCCAACCCCCAGTTTTTATTTTAGTTTGGGGTTTTTGAGGGGGAGTTGGCACACCTGGTGGTCCTCAAAGCTCACTCTTGATTTGTTTTTGTTTTTTTTGGGTGGTGGGTTGAGCTACATCTTTGGCTCTACACTCAAGAATTACTCCTGAGCAATAGCACAGTGGGAAGGGTGTTTGCTTGCACGCAGCAAACCCAGGTTTGATCCCCAACATCCCATATGGTCCCTGAGCCCTGCCAGGAGTGATTCAAGGAGTCAGTTCTAAGCATTGCCAGGTGTGGCTCAAAAACCAAAAAAGAAAGCAAAGAACCCTAGAAGCATTAAAAAAGAATAACTTGATTTTCTGGCCCTGTTTTGGGGATCCCCTTTGGGAAAGGGGATCTCTTCTCTGCTTCTGATGGCACCATAGCCTCTGAGGGCTTGTGCCTGCATGGCTTTGTGATCCCTCTGTCATCCCTTGGCCTGTCTTCTGTTTTCTAGGTCATCCTGATGACATCCAGGAAGCTTCCTCCAGCCAATCACGTAAGGTCATCAGC